ATTTGCACAATGAACTTATTATTTCCATTTCATTTATACTGGTGATAAATCGCAATAATCAAAAAGAAATATTGAAGATCTTCATTTAAAAAAAAAGAAGATACTTAGAGTTTCAAACATTAATCGTCGCCTCGTGAAATAGGTTCCTCCCTCGGGGAACCTTAAAGGAGAAGGTACGATTTGGGCTTTATTGTGCCCTTAAAATTTTATATTTTCAAAAAGTTATGAAATTGGCTTAAATTTGATTTGAGTATATGAATGTGATAATTCATAAAAGAATATGGCATGAAGAAAGACCATTCTTGAAATATGACGTCATTAATTTGGTACCTTTCTTAGTTTTAAACAGAAAAAGCCTCAAAATGACTCATTTCAGGGGTTATTTTCCTTAAAGAAAACAATGACCACAGCCGTCACCTGCTTCAATTTTCAGATATTTTGTGTAAAATCCTTTTATAAATCACATTTCTCAAAATCTTTGTGGGCGATGCATGTGCTCTATATATTATCTGAAAGAAAATTTCACTGAAATGTGCTCTATATATTATTTCAAAGAAAATTTCACTGAAATTTGATGTCTTCTGCAACTTTTTTAAGAAAACACGGGAAAATACACAAGTTCATAAAGTCACAATTAGCATTTAGAAGGTCATGTGAGAAAATCGATTTGTATATTCTTACTGCATGGAATTTCAACGATTCAGAAAAAAAAAGAATTTTAATTTCTTACGTCGCTTCCATATTTTAGAAAAATACAGGGCCAGATTTGTATTGAAACTGTACCTTGTTCTTTGCTATTTCCCGAGTATCGATTCCATAACTGTTTTATAATACCGAAACAATCTATATAGCCAAAAAAGGATTTATTGATTGTATATTGCTACAGATGACGAAAGAAACGTTAAAGTTTTCAAGTTAGTTTGTCACCAATGATTTCAGTGGCAGACACTGTGGTGTCTTGTATTTCGAGTTCAATGGGATATATCGAATCAAGTAAGAAAGAATATGAATATTTTCAGAACGTCATAGATACATCTTAAAGTCGTATTGAAGGCCCTAGCAAGAGACTTCTTCTTTTTAGGTAGAGGTATTGCATAAATTTTGCGTCATATGAATACAAAAACAGGTCAGCTAAGAACGAGGCATTATTAGTACGCAATGGAACTTCAAAAGATTGGTCGAAGAACTGGTTTCCAAAATCTACATAGATATTGTCAATTAGAAATTGAAGCATCTTTTAATATCGACTTTATGATAGCTATATGAAGAACCAGAATTTTTTTTTATTAACAAAAAAGTTTGCAGATGACCAAAGACAAGGTTTGAAAGTTCCATTTTCATTGAAGAAGCAGTTTTCTGTGAAGTCAAAAAGCTGGTCTTAAATTTATCCAGGGGTAATGGTTGAATTACGTATTGAAAACTCCCACGTTTTTATGCTATTGATTTTCATAAAATTTAGTGATTTCAAATTTTGTCACAGTTCCTCGGAATTTTTGAGTATCCACGTTTGATTAAACCACTTCTAGAACATGTTGTTGTACAGTACTCCTGATGTTTCTCCTTCATTAGTGTCACTTCTAAATATGAAGGTAAAATATGGAGATACATGTATAAATGTTGTAATTGTTGTTAAAATTTAAAGTAATATTCCAGTTGAATACTTGACCTCTGTAGCTCTCAGGGTCAAAGGTATATGACCTTTGCACCTTCCAGGGTCAAGGCTTATACCATTTGTCAGATTGTGTTTGCGAACTGAACCTTTAAAGTGTTTTGGAGGTTTTTAGTATCTACATTTGATAAAACACCACCTCTGAAATATGTAGTTTCCAAGAAATGCTGAAGTTCTCTATCATTGCTGAAAATATTTTCAAGAGGATTAAAGAAAAAGGCTTGGTACAGCATTTACTAGATCTCACTACGTAAGGATTTTAATGAATACTTGGAATCCAGTACAGGTATGGCAATTCAATTGGTTGTTGGGAATATTGAAAATAATTAAAACTGAGCTATGTTTTTGAACCTTTTGAAAATGATGTTTATGTGAATATTGCATTGATGTTTTGCAGGACCTTCCCTTTGTGTTTGAGCGGCCAGTCTATTGTTCAGTTGCAGTACCTGCTCTTTGTGTTGGCGGCCAATCCGTTGTCTACTTTGATAATCACGCATCTTATTATTTGTGTCTCTAGACTGATCTACAGCAGTGTCCAGTATACAAAAAATTAAATTCTTAAACATACTTTGTGTTTTGATATGCACTTGTCTGAGATGATATTGAATTATTTCCCTTTGTTAAGCATAATCATATCAAGCCTCCTCACGAAAGAGAATTGAAACGTGATCGAAAAAAATCATAATTTATTGATAATTCGAAAACATTGTAATATTTACGTTGTTTTTTAAAAAATGATACCCTTGTTTAAGTTTAGAACTTATTAAAGTTATATATGGCGTATCTGAGCTTGAAAAATAATAATACGAGATTGGGTGTAAATATATGTGATATATGTTATTCATGCATGTATGTGCCTGCCTGGCTCATCTGTCGATAAATTGCTTTTAGGTGCTGGATTTGTCCGATTGTGTGGTAAAACTGGAATGCTTAAAAAATTTCAATGTGGATTTTCAAATTGACCTGCCTCGGGAGATTCTTTCCATTTTTTTTTTTTTTTTTTTTTTTTTTTTTTTTTTTTTTTTTTTTTTTTTGCTTGCTTGTTTAACGTTCGGGAATTTTTCACTCAAATACAGACCCCATCACTTGCTGATGAAGGACTGCAAATTTAGACCTGTTCCTAGCATTTACCTTAAATAGTTCTGAGATCTTTTCTACACAAAAAGGTTACATATCTGATATTAGGCGACCAATCAGAACTGGAATTGGTGTCAAAAAAATCTCTCTGATGTCAGATTAACTATCGTTGAAAAATTTAATTTGATTAAGATCGATTCGATAGATTTTGAAAATTGAGTAGAAAAAGGGAGAAAATAATATTGAAGAAACAATAAATCTTTCATTGAATCATCAGTATTATAAAACATAGTATATAACACCAGAAAAGAATGTTCATAAAAGTTACACATACATATATACTGAGTATATAAATAAAACTGAATAATCAGTAAGGGGTTATTTCATAATGGAAAGAATATTATACAATTATGGACTCTTTCGGTGGTGAATATGGTTTATTGTTCACCAGAAAAATATCAATATTGATCGAGGCGAAGCCGAGGTAAATATTGATATTTTTCTGGCTTAACACTTCGTGTTTTCCTTTTGCTGTGTGTAAGTCATCGAAATGTTTGGAAAATAATTCTGCGATAGACTTGCCCAACATTTTTCCTGTTCAGATATACAGCTGGCTCCGGCCGTTGCAACCATTGTTTTCAACAGTGTTTGAGGTATTGATTGTGACGTCACAATGCCGCTGCACGCGCACTCACCTTCCGGTGAATACGGCCTCAAATCCAGTGAATATGTAGTATTATGAACTGTTTGCGCTTGTATAGCTTATATAGGGACTATTTATAGACTACATAATAATTTACTTTATCCAGCAATAATCAATTTATTCCTTAATATTGTAAACGACTGTAAGGAATTGTCCACCATAGATATGTATTACGGAATATGACCCAGCTGAAAGAATTATTACCTTGTCTATCTTAATTTTTTTCCCAAGTTTTAGGTTCATGTTCATTTAGTATTTAAAATTGATTTTTTTTTCTGACCACTAACAAAAGGAATTGTCAACAAACCTTAAGCATCATCGAGAGAGAAGAACAGATATAGGTAGGTCCGTGAACTTTGTAAATTCTTAAACTCAAATGCGATGAATTTTGCTATCAGTGATTTAATTTTTATTTCAATTTACTGTAATTTGATAAAGCAATATTGGCTGTGCAGTTATTAATTTTATTCAAGACATTTTTTAAAACAAATTATTTTTACTGTTTGAGTGCAGACTTAAAAAATTGTATTAAAATTATCAATGTTATACGGAAGCCCGTTGAGGCCAGTTCAGAGAAAGAAATATTTTTTATTGCGTTTAAACGCAAAACATTGCGCTTAATAGCAATAATCATTGCGTTTAAACGCAAAAGATTGCGTTTAATCGCAATGTATATTGCGTTTAAACGCAAAACACTTTGCGTTTAATCGCAAAAGATTGCGATTAAACGCAATCTTTTGCGTTTACACGCAATAACTTTGCGATTAAATGCAATGTTTTGCGTTTAAACGCAATAAAAAATACTTCTTTCTCTGAACTGGCTTCAATGGGCTTCCGTAATGGTAACTGATTACTTACAAAATAACATCATGCTTACTCAATCATGCAGTTTTTTTTTCTTTTTTTTTTTTAAATTCGAGGTTTACAATATCATTTCAGCAGATTATGTGATTGTTTCAGAATAAGCCACATGGTTTTTCTTTAATCGATTAGAATTGCGTAAATTACAATGAACTCCGTCACCAGGGTAAACTTCAAACGATCTTGTCTGAATAAAATAGAATTCAGTTTTATTAATTGAGTACATCGTGCTAACAGGAAATTCGTGTAATAAAAGATTTCTGACATTCAATAAAAGTGTGCAAAGTAAAAATTAGTAGTAAAAAGATATATCATTGTATATTGTGAAATCACTAATTTTCGAGGGGGGGGGGGTAATTTTCGTTGTTTTCAAGGTACGAAGAAACCTACGAATTCATGTCCATCACAAAATATACGTAACTACTCAACAGTTCTTCTTTTACGAAATCAATAGAAATAGAAATCAATAGAACCCATAGTTTTTCTTCAAACCACGAGAAGCTGACCCGTTGAAAATATGATTTACAGTATAATGGTATGGTACAGGTTTGCCTATTTGATGTTATAGTTACTAAGTTTTTGAATCATTTTCCCTGACTTAGTGATTTTTCAAGTATTTGATAAGGAATTTTTTTAAAATTCATATAATTACCTTTATGAAATTAAAACAGAAATATCATCACCAAAAAATTAACCAACAACTGGCATAATACAACTTTTAGGGTTACATCCATTTTGCAGTATGTTAGGCAAACCATTATTCCAGAAATCTATATAGGATTTCCTGTAACTTGTGCTCATTGATGTCATCAAGGATTGGAGGCTCATGTATGGACGTGACGGGCTGTCATCAAATGGATTCCAGTTTGGCAAACCTTGTCCGTTAGGGTTCCTTGATAGAGAAAAAGAAAAAATTAATCTTCAAAAATCACAATTATCTCGGTATCATTATATCCTTAATTTCTTTTTCTTATATGACTTAATTTTTAAATTGGTGTACATGTAATAGAAGTTTACTTTAAAATATGCATTTAATTTGAAATAGATTACCCAGTCTTTGCAAAGTTGGTCCAGTATTGTCTCATCCGGTTCACTAATACGTCAGCTCCTTTGGGCCAGTCATAGATTGTTTTAACTTGTTCATAAAAAAATAAGTAAAAGACATCAGTTGCATGCGCAGATCCACGATACCATGAAGGTGCTAAGGGATTAATTGAAGGTAATTCATCGGAAAACACGAACTGATATGTTGTTGTTCCCTGAATACTATTTGCATGATATTCTAGAGCAAGTGCTGCAGGGGCAATAAACGTAGCGTCACCGTACATGTGCAAAAATTCTCGACCTTGTTCTTCAATGTTGTTTACTGTAGAGTACTTCCTGCAAATTGCATTTGAAACATCGCCACTGCTGTTGTATAAAGATTTTGAGAATACAGGTACGATAGCATTGCACAACTCACTTGTTGGTACACCTTCACTGAAATTAAAGTTTAATTTTGATTGATAAAAAGGTAAGAAGCTCATTGCCAGGGAACCGTCATTATCACAAATTCCAATCATCATGTCCAGTGATTGAAAAAAGTTGAATTCTGGTGACGACCTGTCTGTCAGTAAATGAATTGGATCCTTACGAATGAGTTCACCGTCAACTGTCGGGGAAAAAGGAAGTGTTACAAGAGCGTTCAATTCTAAGTCCATCCAAACTATATCCATTGCTTTTACAAGATCAATTGCATCTACAGCTTTTAAGCATTCAATAAAGTTATGATCATTCCCTGAGTGGTAATCGTGAGTACAACCAACTTTTTTGCCAACTGCAATGGTAGATATTGTTGCATTGGATACTGCAAGGTAAGAATTGGCAGTTCCACTTTGAGCAATTACTCTGTGAAAAAGTCCTCTGTTGCTAGGTATTAAAGATTGGAAGGACACACTGGATCCTCCAGCTGATTCCCCAAATATTGTTATATCATCAGGATTTCCGCCATAGTCTTTTATGTTATATCTTATCCAGTTTAGAGCCATTTTCTGGTCCCAAAGCCCGGCATTTCCTTTTGCCTTGTTATTTCTCGAAGCAAAGAATCCAAATATTCCCAGACGATAATTTATTGTCACTATAATCACATCTCCTACTAGAGAAAGCATACTTCCATCATACATGCCTCCGGAACCGGATATAAATGCACCCCCATGAAACCAAACCATAACTGATTTGCTGTTTGAAGAGTTTATATCATTTGGGACGTAAATATTTAACTTGAGACAATCTTCAGTAAATCCTGGATATGTTGTTGACTGGTTTTGTGATTGATAACAAACAGGGCCTAGTGTCGTTGCATTAAGGGTCTTTGACCAAGCTCCAAAATGCTGAGGTTTTTGAAACCGTAAATGACCTACCGGGGCTTTACCATATGGTATATCGAGAAATTTATAAATTGTTCCCTTATTCATGAAAGTGCTGTGCCGTACTCCTAATACATTTCCAAGTCTTGTTTGGATTTCAACTTCACTTTCCTCAGCTGTGGTATCAATAATGCACTTTGCTGATATGAGCGTTATCGTAAGAAGGAACGTGAGTGAGCCTTTGCTTCCCATCTCAATAAATAATCTGGTAAAATTAGAGGTATATAGAAGCTGAATATAAACTCATTTAGAATTGTGTGTGTGTGTGTGTGTGTGTGTGTGTCTTCTTTGGTATACATTCCCATTCGTGATTTTAAAAAAAAAATACGAAAAATCGGACAAACTATTTACTAAAGTAACTCAAAAATTTAAGTGATTACTTTTTTTAAGAACAAAATGAAAAAAAGGATGTTCAGCTAAAAATTAATCAAGTTGGTCACATAACTATTAAACATTCGTTTTTATTTATTGTTTTCATATGAAAGAAAACAAAAATGAAGATAAAAATAAGATAAATACGTACCTTCAGGAGAAGTATCTAGGTAACACTGATAAAATATGATTCTCTCGAGGTGCTTATATAATATATAGTCAGTTATAAAGTAGAACAACGACCAAAATACACTGATACCTTGCAAGAATGAAATGAAATTTCGTAAGATAAATTATACAACACATACTCTGGTTGTCATGTCTGAGTAAAAGCTTAAAACTGGTAGTATTAATTATTGATGTAAAAAAAAAAAAAAAAACTTAAGACACTCTGAAACACTTTTCTTAACTACAAATAGAAGAATCTCCCCTTTCGGCGTTTGTTTCAGAATAGCATTTAATCAAAGCTGATATCTAAATTGTTGAGAGAAAAAAAAATGATTCACCAATAATTAATGCTTTTGTAATAAAATATCCAATCATAATTATGGGACCACGTCTTATTTCATAATTAGTTTAAGCTTTTATGAACTAATTAACAATCAGAAAAAAAGTTTACGAAGATACTATTCCAAGGATGTTTTTGTTGATAACCTCTCTCTCTCTCTCTCATGTATATAATCCCTAACCCCCTTTCATAAACTGTAAATGTATGAGGTTAAACGTGTATACAATATTCTGCGGAAATTTACATGTATTTTTCAATTGATTTAGCACATTTCTGAATTAAACTTATGTTACATGTAATATATATGTATAAAAAACATTTAGCGATCTACTTGATTAAGCGGAAGCTGTTGTCCGCCAAAAGCGCTAAACAGAATACACAGCTAAATATAATCGATTAATTTACATCTCTCGACAAAAATGCTAATCTGAAGTATGCCATATGAAAATCGAGTGAAAAAACATTTTTTATATTGGAGCATTCGTAAGTGATATTTTAAGATCGGTAAAAAGCAGGACAATGTTAGGATTATTTATCAAAGCCTCTTAAAATTGGGGATTTTGAAAACTAAAATAGCCAATCGTTTGTTTTTCGTAGTACATCTTTTTTCCCTTATATGCAACGTTCTATCGTATCTATGACAGTAAAGGCGAATGTTGATGTGTGTTCCTTGTTCCTTGGGAATTTGCCTGTCTTATATTGTGTGAATATGTCACTCATCAAGAGAACTATGCAAGGCAATAGGTTAGAATTAAGAGCCTTTATTGGCCAAAGGATATTGTGACATGGGACCTACGTCTTAAAGCTGGGCGCTTGGCGAAGGATCAGTTTAATCTATGTTAAACGTCATAGGTTTGAGAGGCGTCGGGATCGAAAATTGTAAAACAGGGCGCTGGCTTCCCGCTTGCAAAAAGAGCGACCGTGTTCCGTTGCCTTGGTAATAAAGTGTTATTAATACTGTAAATTACTTTTTATTTCGCGAGAACATTATTTCGCGGCATTTTACCAAAATTCAGCCTCTCGTATATTTTTATTAGTTTATTTTATATATAACAATAACCAGAATAGGTGAATATTTGTCCCGTCAAAAAACACTAAAAACCTATTTCGCAAAAGTAAGGTGTTGTGAAAATTTGGTAATCTACAGTAGTGTTTTGCTTTGAAAATTTAGTGTGTTTTATTATATGAATAATTCCTAGCTCTCTGATTGGCTGAATTCCAACATTGTTGAAAAATACTGCGTTATTCACCTGCACTTTACCTTGTAGGTGAACATAAATATTTATTATTCCTACATTAGACTAAAATAGATTGAGAACTTCAAGATTGAAACAAATAGCTTTGGGAATTTATTCATTTGCACCCTACTTCCAGTCAAGTGAACATAGCAAACAGGCACGTAAAATCGGGATTGAAGGTGAAGGGGGATGCAGGGGAGCCTGCCCCTCTCAATTTTTTTTCTGAACGTAAGTTTTCATTATTTAGTATGTAAATGTTAATTGAAAGGCTGATCAACCCCCTCCCCGGGGTAAGGGGGGTCATGAACCAAAACATTCACCCTCACCCCCACCCCCGAAATAAAATTTGAAGTTGTAAATTACTCCTCCGAGAGATTGGCGCTGGACAAAGATTTTTTCCCTTTTAATGTCCCCTCCCCAAATTTCAAAATCGATCCTACGTGCATGACACATGTATTTTACTGGTTTATGATTCAAATAATAGGATTTTACATGCATTAATCTTATGCATAATATATATAATAGACCTTAATCTAGAGTTCTCTTTCCAGAATGTTAAAAATGAACCATTTTCAAAATTAAATGACAAAAAACGTTTTTGCAAGAAAGCGAATATGTCCACCGAAGATGTCCACTTTGCTTTGTGACAAAATATAAACAACTTCATTTGTTAACTGTCAAGGGTCAAAATAAGAATTCAAAATTTTTATTACACAATGACCATACTACGATATCGATTTTAGCAAAAGATGACTACATTTAAGTGTGCCAAAAATGTAGAAAACCCATTTTGAATACACCAAATCCCGCGGTATTCTAACCCCTCCATCAGAGTCCTCGCTTATATGGTGTCATATGTATAAGGGCATGCCATTATCCTTTGAAACAAGCATACTCTGGGATATAAATTTCAGAACTTAAATGCCCCCTTTACATAATAAAGAATTTAGAGGTAATGATAAGTGAACCAAGGGACCCAATTACTCTGACCTTTTGAAATAGTCGGAGAAACAACTAGAACAAAGATAACAATATCTAACGGCAAAATGGAAACTATAATACCTAATCTATAAAAAAGGAGATTATGTTTACGGTTTTATATTAGAAGGAAGAAGGTACGGTTTGGGCTTTATTGTACCCATGAATTTTAATGTTTTCAAAAAGTTATGAAATTGGCTCAAATATGAGTTGAGTATGAGATTATCCTACTTTAAACTGGAAACTATAATACTTAATCTATGAAAACTAGATTATGTTTAGGTTTTTAAATTAAATTGACTTTGCGAACTAGATAGACAGGAAAAAACAAGAGATTGATCATGTTGTTTTTTCTTTTTCTATTTCGTTCTCCATAGTATGTATTAGTTTTGAACAATGAACTTTTGAAGGTCTCCAAAATTTTATTTACAGTGGACAATAAATCTAAAAATTCTTTTTAAAAGGTTTAAAGAAAAAAATCTAAGATCTTTCTTAAAAAAGGATATTTATAGCTTCAAAAACTATAGGAAAAAACAGATAGATTTGAATCTCTTTTCGTAATATGATTTGAAAAATCTTGGATCTCTTCAATGCGGCAAAATATCCATATATATAAATATCTTTATTATTTTCTTAATATCAATTTTAAGACTAAATTACATAAGAAAATTGTATCTTGTGTTCATAAATCTTTTTCTGCCTCCAATTCCAAAGTTTAAGATGAAATATGAAAATAGTTTTCCGCATAAAATTGATAAATAATATACAAGGAAAATCTCTATCCTACAACAGGTAAAGCACAGCTATTTTGATCACAGTCAGGGTTAGACAACATTTTGGGGATTTTATGAAGCCAAAACTCCATGTACTCTTTTCTGTAGTCTTGCCCCATCCCAGTATTTAGTGACCTCAGCCTCATATAAGGGTGGCTAGAATTACGATCAAAAGGCAACCAAACCGGAAGTCCGGGACCGTTTGGGTTTCTGAAATTATACAATAAGAAAAAGAAAAAAATATTTATGTTGAAGAATTCCGTTTTTGTTTAAGCACGATAAGAAATTTGTCTCGAAACATCCTTATGGTTTTCTTAGGAAAAATATGATAATGCAATTTTGAATCTGAAATAAAGGAACCTATTTGTAACTTGTACAATATTTCTACAATACTTCTTTATTCTTCATGTAATTTTAATGGACATGTCCTTATACTAATTAATTGAACTTTGCAAGTTTAATCAAATTTTACACTCATAAAATATGATAGCAATATCGATAAATTTTTTGTTCTTACCCAGTTTTGGCAAAATTTGTCCAGTATGACCTCATTTGATTTACTAAGATTTCGGCACCTTTCGGAAACTTTATGACTGAAGAAACTTGTTCATAGAGAAAAAGGTATGTTAATTCTGTACCATGGGCGGAACCATGATACCACGAAGGAGCCTTTGAAAGTAAATACGAATTTTCATCAAAAAACATAAACTGATATGTAGAGGATCCCTGGTTATTGTTGGAATGGTCAATCAATGTTGAAATGGACGGTTTGATAAAGACATAATCACCCACAAGACTTAAGAGTTGACGCCCTTGCTCTGCCACATCCTCCTTAACTGTGTACTTCTCACACACGGCTTTGAAAACCATATCATTCGATTTTATATCTTCGCTTAATATATACGTTAGAAATGTGTTGCACATTTCCTTTGTTGGAATGCCAATACTGATATTGAATGTTAGTTCGTCTTGTAGGAGAGGTAATAAACTAACTATAATAGAGCCTTCAGTTTCACAGTTGCCAATCATAACATCCAGTGACTGGAAGAAATTAAACTCTGATGACGTTTTATCTTTTAAAAGAAGTGCAGGTTCTCTTCTTAACAACTCTCCATCAACTACAGGAGCAAAAGTTACAAATTTCAGTGCCAAAAGCCCTAACTCGGAAGTAAATTCACTAGTTGCATTTATTAATTTCATTGGGTCTACACTTCTTAGGCATCTCAGAAAGGTGGCATCATTTGAAGACAGAGTATCATGAATGCAACCCACCTTCTCTGCTATTCGTATTGTAGATGACGATGCATTTGTTGTTGCAAACGTTGAAGTAGCAACTCCACTTTCAATAATCACCCTATGAAATAGTCCTCTGTTGTAAGGAATCAAGGCCAAAAGAGAAACACTGGTTCCCCCTGCCGATTCACCGAAAATTGTGACATCCCGTGGATTTCCACCATAGTCATGGATATTATAACGTACCCAGTTAAGTGCAAGAATTTGGTCCCATAATCCCATATTCCCTTTTGCACTATAATCTTTTGATGCAAGAAATCCGAAAATTCCTAAACGGTAGTTAATGGTTACAACAATAACGTCACCCTTCAAGGCCAAAAACCCGCCATCATAGCTTATTCCTGATCCAATTACGTACCCTCCACCATGAATCCAAACCATTACGCTTTTTCTATTTGATGGATTGAAATCGTTTGGAACATAAATATTTAGCTGAAGACAATCCTCTGACAAATTGAACCGTGTTTCAGTTTGGTAACACGCAGGACCAAATTTGGTGGCATTGAGAGTTCCGGACCATGCACCATAAGGTAATGGTTTGGCAAACCTTAAATGGCCGACTGGAGCTTTTGCAAATGGAATATTTAGAAATTTATATAACGTTCCTTGATTCTTATACGAATTGAAACGTTTTCCAAAAATTGATCCAAGCCGTGTTTGTGCGTGAAAATCACTTCCAGTTTCCTCTGCACTTAGTGAAATTTGCACCATTAAGGAACAAAGAAGGAGTTTGAAATTCATTAATACTGCCATCTGCAAAAAATAAAGCTTAATTGCAGACTGCAAAAAAACTTTCACAGTGCAAAAGAAATTCTAATGTCTATTAACATGAAATGAAAGTTTACAAAGTAAAATTTAAAGCTTTTAACATAGATGTGGTTAATTCTCTTACCATAATTGTTGTGTACCATGAAGTAGAGAGAGAGAGAGAGAAGTCTCCTCGATATGTGACTTATCATTAGGAATTCCCCTTAGTACAATTGTTTGTCAAGATTAAATAACAACGTAAACCTGTATATATTTATCTCCTAATTCGATACCTGAAAGGAACCAGGCTAAAATGAGTAAGAATGATAAAGATAGACAGTAATCTTAGTAGAGAAAAAGGAAGTAGGTTAAGGGAGTAGCTTTGTGAATCAACCATCAAAACATGGTTGGCACCATAACGGACTCAGCCCCTTAGTACCGGCTTAACCTCAACACCGTTAGAATTTTAGAATGGGGAAATCCTTATTATGTATCCAGGTCTGTTATGCATTATATCATGATTAGTCCTGTTACGTAATAATTTGATTCTCTGTACGCCTCTGCAAGTGAAAGGGTTATAGACCAATGAGGATAACTCTTTTTTGTACCTGACCAGAGAGACTCATGCCAGTTAATATTCCTGGAATATTTTGTCAATGTTCCTTTTTTCTCGAAATGACACTCCAGATTCAAAGTTTAACCTCCAGTGCTTAATGACCTTGTTGTCCATAGTGCCTCAGAAGTTATACTATATACTATATAATTATTAAATTACACAATATAATAAACATTATAATAAACATAATACTATATTTATAATATAAAATATATTAGCCCGTAAATAAAATGAGCCATCTGAAAATTTCAACAGTGCACCAGAAACCCTCAAGCATACAAAAGTATCTTACCTGTATAAATGCATCGCCACTCGTGAATGTGTCTTCCTCACCAGCATTTATACCCTCCGTACAAGCATCTAAATTCCTTACCATATCTGCTTTTTTTTCAGAATTTGTAACACCGACCTTAAAATTTGATTTGAGTTTAATCAGACATTATTCTGTCTTCCATCAGTCTTTGAATTGTAATTGCACTTAAATATACATGTTTAACTTTTTGCACAATCTTTACTCTTTATCTGAAACTGATTCAAAGGCTCAATCGAGCTTACCTGATCAAAAAGTGTCCGACATCCGTCTGTCTGTCGTCTGTTTCTGTTAACTTTTCACATTTTCGACTTCTACACCAGAACCACTTGGCCAAATTCAACCAAACTTGCCACAAAGCGTCCTTGGGTAAAAGGAATTTACGTTTATTCACAGAAAGTGCCACCCCTTCTTTCAAGGGGAGATAAGAATTCGTGAAAATTTGAAGGTACCTTTTAAACATCTTCTCCTCAAGAACCACTAGGCCAGAAAAGATGAAACTTATGCGAAAGTTAAATACTGTAGAATCAAGTTTGCTCATTTCATCACCCCGAGGGTAGGGCGGGGCAACAACAGGGGGTTAAATTTTTACATAGGAATATATAGGAAATATCATTAACAATCTTCTCAAGAACAGCAAAGCGATTATAAGTCGTATTAATAAAGAAACATCCTCAAGTAGTGTAGATTCAAGTTTGTTCAAATCATGACCCCTGGGGGTAGGGGTGGGCCACAACAGGGGATCAAAGTTTATCATAAGAATATATAATGAATGTCTTTAAAAATCGTCTTTAAGAACAGTTATTTAGGTCATATTAATACAGAAGCGTCCTCAGGTAGTGTATATTCTAATTTTTTTTTTAAATTAAGACCCCCCCCCCCCGGGAGTAGGGCGGGGCCAGAATAGGGGATCAAAGCTTTAGAAAGGAATATAAAGGAAAATCTTCTTTAAAAAATTCTTCTCTAAACAGCAAAACCATGATTTGTCATATTAATATAGAGGCATCCTCGGGTAAGGTAGGTTCGAGATTGTTATATAATCTTTATTGCCCAAGACACACATCTTATAGCATTGAGTAAATATAACAAACATCAAAAGAAGGTTGTGTGGCATGGTAATATAAACATATGTATTATATAATGTTGAATTGTAACAGACTTTGGTAATATACAGTTTGACCATATATACATTAGACAGAAAATGATTTTGTGACACTTTCACGTACTTCAAAAGCGCATTGGAGGTAAATACCTAAATTGAACAGTTCTTTAAAATTTTTACTGAGCAGTTGTATTAACTTGAAAACTGAAGGTTTTTTCCAGTAATATTTCTTAATATATCGACATCTAATATCACTAAATTGAGGGCATTTTAAAATAAAATGAAATTCATCCTCAATATCTAAGTGAATTGTTCAATTCATGATGGTTGGGGAAGGGTGGGGCCACTAGAGGGGATTAAAGTTATACATAGGAAAAATCTTGAAAAAAAAATTCTCAAGAACAGCAAAGGCATGATTAGTCATATGACATGTAACAAAGAAGTATCTTAAGGTACACTAAATGTAAATTCAAGTTTGTTCAAATCATGACCCCTTGGAAAAGTCTGGGGCCACAACAGGGGATCAAAGTTATTCTTAGGAATATGAAGGAAATACTTTTAAAAATATTCTTAACAAGAACAGGAAAGTTATAATTAGTCATATATACGAGGGGTGATCAAAAAGTTCGCGAAATATCTCTATATTTTCAAAACCACAATTCAGATCAGAATGAAATTTGGCACACAAATAGTCATAAACGTCTTCTATAAATGGCAGCTGTTCAGTAATGTTTTGGTCCATGTTTATGACGTCACAATGTTAAAATGACGTCAAAAGGTAGATGACTTGTGACAGAAAATGTGTGACTCAGTTTTACTCGAACATGGAATGGCGGTAAAGTTTAAGGTATATCTTGGAAAATTCCTTTGCAGTGGCATATAAGAATTTGTACAATGTTTCTGAAGACAAAGGACTTGCAAGAAGTTCAACAACTAATTGGACTGATTGTTTTAGTGAAGGAAGGGAGATGGTTAAAATTGATGTTTGTTCTGGTGCCCATTGAAAGTATGCATCCGTAGTTGAGTAATCTGTTATAAAAAATCGCCAAGTTACAGTAAAAAAGTAGTTCAATATCTTAACAATAAAATAATCATTAAATCCCTAAAATACCATTTTTTTAAGACTTTAAACATATCAGATATGATAAAGAGAACGCTCCTATACTAGATTCACATTAAAATACGACGCATCTAACACAGAGGAGTCGGGTTGTGATGGTCACCATGCTCATTCTGGTGAATGTTATCCTTATCCACCCATCCTATTGTCGAGATTTTGGCCATTTGTGACAATGAAACTATTCTTGTAATAAAAAATAACCTCCATGGTAATATTTATAAGACTCGGAAAATATTTTTGCTGCTGTGAATAGAACGCTAAAGAGTATGTCACGTGACCGCCTGGACCACATGTTTCGCGCATGGGCAGAACGGTGACAGATGTGCATTGAAACCGGAGGGGACTTCTTTAAAAAGTAATACACACTGAAACCTAATTTTATTTCTTTTATGGAAGTAATGCAATTAGTTCGCGAACTTTTTGATCACCCCTCATATATGGAATCATTCTCAGTAGTGTTGATTGAAATTTGTTTAAATCATGACCACTTGGTGCAGGGTGGGCAGAAAGGGGGGTCAAACTTTAACATAGGAATATACAGTAGAAATCTTTTAAAATCTTTTTCCCAGGAACAGCAAAGCCAAGATTAGTCATATTTATATGGAAGCATCCGCAGGTAGTATAGATTCAAATCTATTCACATCATGAACCCTAGGAATGGTGTGGGCAAAAAGGGCAATCAAAGTTTTACATAGGAATACATAGGAAAAATATTGAAAAGAATTCTTCTCCAGAACAACAAAGCCATGATTAGTCATATGTATATGGAAGTATCTTCAGGTAGTGTAGATTTATGTTTGTTCAAAACATGACTCCCTGGGGTAGGGTGGGGCCATTATATGTGATCAAAGTTTTTCATAAAAATATGTAAGACAAAGAATCTTCTGATGAAGAAGAGAAGCTAGGGCCATAGTTACTTAGGTGAGCGTTGTGGCCCATGGGCCTCTTAATATTCCTTGTTGATAATATACAGACGAATGACCTCTGGTCACTCGCATCATACTATTCGATTAGTTACACCTTCGTTCTTTACTAAGTATCTACAAATAATGAACCTCACAGAGACATCTCAGAGCGGCGAAAAGTTCATCATACACTTCTGTCTAGCATCAGTTTCCTTCTATTTTTATCCTTCGAGTAAACACCAATGCATTTGTTAAGGTTCCCCTCAAGATAATAAATGCTGTATTTTTTCTTTCCTTATGACACAACTAACTAGTACTTTGTGCCTGTCTCGACATATTAACGCCTCATTATTTACACTCGGTCGATAATTTATTTTATAAATTTTCATATTTAAAAAAAACTACTCTCTTAAACAATAGCGCGTAAAAAGATTTTTAACTTAGTGTAATTAGTCACTGTTGTGGAAGCATGGTTTCATGGTCAGCTATCACATAATGACATGGTTTTTGGGGGTTGAAAATTTTAATATATCTTTCAACTACATATGGTATTTGTTATATTATACAATACATGCTATGATGAACCGTACAAGCATAGATTCAGCACAGTCAACATTTTTTGGAATAACACCCGTCGTCAAGTAATATTAACTGTTGCTACCTTCTATCACGCTGAAGGGCGTGATTTCATTCTTAGTATTTTTCACCGAATGTTTCTCGACGAATCAGATTCAACTTATTTACATGAAAGTATACTTTTGTATTGTTCCATTCAATGTAGAATAAGAAAGGTGATAGATAATATGAGATCATGTATACTATTTTTAGCACTAAATGGGCCAAAGTGTATTCAGGTAGTGAGAAAAGAAACATGTGGAAATAATCGATCATGGGTATTTTTCAGGCAAAAAGTGTGCTACATATACGCATTTACTTTTGAAATAAGAAATGTATACTAATTCTCAGCCGAATAAGTTTTTTTTTAATTTTGTGTCAGTGAAACATGTTCATGCAATAGGAATAATAAATCACACAATTTAATATAAGTAACAGTATCATTTTCTGAAATTCTTCGGATATTATAAAAAAAAATCCCTCACTTCTCGATGGCCTTGAGTGTTGAGTAAAGGTCTATATGAAGACGTCTCATATGAGTGAAAGAATCTTGAATGATCTTATAACAAAATCGGTCTTTCAAAAAAATAACAAAAAAAAATACAATTTTTATTTGTGAAACACTGATGCTCTCCTATAGCAGCTCATGGCCAGCGTTAATGTTTTCAAAGGTAGGTCAAACTCGAAGGTCAAAGTCATAAGGTAAAAAATTTTGGTCCCGAAAGAATGACCTTGTTAAAAGGAAATATGAAAGCACAAAAACGTTCAAAAGTTATGTCCAAGGATAAAGTTTTTAAAAAAATCCATGGTCATAAGGTCAAATATCTTCGTACCCAAAAAAGGTATTGTCACAAAACGTACACGTGTGATGTATGAAAGCTAAGGTTAAAGTTTTTCAAATATTAGTTAAACCTGAAGGTAAACGATATGAGGTCAGAAATGTTCGTATCCGAAGAAAGGTCATGACACAAGGAATATACAAGTGAAATATGAAAGCCCAAGTACTATTTCGAAATTATGCCTATTTCATAGGGGCGAGGGCTTCTTTTGGACAAGGCCGCATTCTTTCATATCTATGACTTGTATCCCAAGGGGATCCAAGATCATTTTTTTCATTGTACAGTGTTAATTTTTCCATGGGATAGGCAAGTCTGGATTATGTGTATTCACATTTACTGTTTTCTGTCTGAAAGTGTATCTTTTCAAATGTGTAATGAAAAAAAAATTGAAGGGTTTCGTCGAAATAACGTGAATTGAATGTTTAAAAAAAGCATAGTAAAAATGATATTTATTCATTTCGCCACTGAATATAAAAGCAGGGGAAAATGATAATAATCTATTGTAAATTATTTTGTACCATTTAATCAATGAATGAACAATTTTCACATATTCATAAATAATTTATTACTTGTTTCATTCCTTCAAACAGCGTTTTAATCATGTAAGTAAAAAGTATTAAAAACTCAAATACATAAAAAATGAATATACAATATAAAAATGTTTCTATCCTACAACAGGTAAAGCATAGCTATTTTGATCACAGTCAGCCTCGAACAACATTCTATGGATCTTATGAAGCCAGAACTCCATGTACTCTTTTCTGTAGTCTTGCCCCATCTCAGTATTTAGTGACCTCAGGCTCATGTAAGGATGACTGGAATTACGATCAAAAGGCAACCATACTGGAAGTCCAGGACCATTTGGGTTTCTGAAAATACACAATTTAAATATACAGCTGTCAAAATTGGAAATTGTGAAATCAACTGATGGTTTTTACCTACAAACCACTTTTTAAACACGTACATGAAATGTGAAGATAACGAACAGTAATTAAGCTCAAATTGAAACCAGAGCAAAGGCAGACTTCTAAAAACATCAGAGGTGGGATCAGGTACTGTGGAGGAGTAAACATCCTCTGTCGACCGGTCACACACATCGTGTGCTGCTTGTCATGATTGGGAAAGCAAAAAATCCGTCGACAAATTAGTGTTTGAATATTTTTAAACAAATCATTACTAATAAATGTGTTGTTCAAGGAGAATTTCTTTACATTGGTGTCTTAAAGAGAGAGTACATCAAATTCATATCAAACTACATACTTCTATACTCCCACGTTAGATTACTAGCGCTTTCAGACTTTGAATATCTTCCTCAAACAAATGGAAGAAAGGAAAGAGCCATAGGACTTTGTTTTTACTATTCTTTCCAATGCAGAATTATACGTACCCTGTTTTGGCAAAATTCGTCCAATATGACCTCATTTGATTCACCAATATTTCGGCACCTTCAGGATACTTAACATGTGACACTAACTGTTCATAGAAGAACAAGTAAACTAATTCCGTGGCGTGAGCAGAGCCACGATACCACAAAGGAGCATTTGGAAGCATGAATGAGAGTTCATCAAAAAATACATATTGATAAGTAGAAGATGCCTGGACATTGTTGGAGTGTTCAAGCAGCATTGAAGTGGATGGTCTAAGAAAGAGATAGTCACTAATGAGGCTTAAAAATTGGCGCCCTTGCTCTGCTACATCATTCTCCTTTACGGTGTACATGTCACACACGTCCTTGAAGACTCGGACATTAGATTTCATCTTTTCGTTTAATAAATTGGGTAGAAATACCTTACACATTTCCACCGTTGGAACACCAATGCTTATATTGAAGGTAAGCTCATCTTGTAGGAATGGGAATGCACAAACTATTAAAGAAGCTTCGTTCTCACAGTTACCTATCATTACATCCAGTGACTGGAAGAAAGTGAATTCTGAAGAACTTTTATCATGTAAAAGAAGAGTAGGTTCTCTTCTCAACAGTTCTCCATCAACTATGGGAGCGAAAATCGTGCGCGAGATTGCTGGAAGCCCCAAATCAGAAGCGTACTCATCAGTAGCATTCACTAATTTCATTGGGTTTACACTTCTTAAGCATCGCTGTCACTGCGTATAGGCAGCTAACCACACAATCAAACTGACTTACTGTGTTTCAAGTTTCAACTTTATTGAAGAACGTGGTGAAAGGCTGAAATACAAACAAAATGAACCTGTACACAAACACATAACAGACAGTCATAGGACATTCATACATGCTGACTAGATATTTATTCATATATACTGACTTACATACATTTTGAAAGTTATAAGAATACATAGTAATGATAGCTCACAATATTTCATTGAGCAAACTAAGCGAATATATCAATGCAATATCATACATGTAAATTTGGCGGTATCTGCTATTTTTAGAAACGACTATGAAATACACAAAACGTATGACACCTATGCAAACATTAAAGCAAAATCAAATACTATAATCATGTAAACATTTACAAACATAAAAGCTTACAATGTGCTCTCGGCCGGATGGACAATATTGACGTTATAGCTGCAAATATGTGCTGCATCCCGCACCAGCATGGAGAACTTTAATGTATTAAACAAAACAAAAAACTGCAAACCCGGAAATATCCGGTTGCACTTAAAATAAGTTGTACATAAACTAATTCGTGAACACTACACTCCCCGTCTTATATCATAGATATAACCAGTCACTAACTGACATTGACAAAAATCTCAAACTGTTACTGCATAACTACAATAAACTTATTCACAAAGTTACTGTTCAAGCAGAAGAACCATCTCGGTTATGGGTCGGGTGTAAACCTTCTTGTCCTTGGCGACACGTACAACAGCTTTCCGGACCATTGCATGATTGCTCTCAATCGGGCGCTCGACTATCCCCATCGGCCACAGGTTCCTATGGACATTCTTCTCACGTAAGAGTACAACATTTCCGCTCTTCAGATTCTCTTTACTTGAGTACCACTTCTGTCTCTTTTGTAAACTGTCCAAGTAGGTAACGTGCCACTTCTTCCAAAACATATCAGACAGCACCTGAACATGTTTCCAGCTGGCTGTGTACATGTCCTTGATACCCAAATGTTCCGAGATAGATCCGATATCCCCCTGTTTCTGTGTCAAGAGTACGTTTGGGCTCAGTACCATGGGTGATGATGGGTCCGTATCAAGCGCTATCGGGCGAGAGTTAAGTATGGCACAAACCTCTGCCATGAACGTGACTAGTACTTCGTGTGTAAGTTCTTTGCCTCTGTCTTGAATCAGCATAGAGTCCAAAATCCTGCGAGCACTACCAATAACTCTCTCCCATACACCTCCCATATGGGATGCATGAGGGGCATTAAACAACCAGGTTGCTCTGTTCTCCTTCAGATATGTCTTCATCATATTGTCTTCAACGTTGATGGCATTCACATCAAGGTCCTCCACAGCTCCAATAAAATTTGTTCCCCTGTCAGAACGAAAAAGCTTTACTGGTCCACGCAAGGCTATAAAGCGTCTCAGGGCATTAATGAAGCATGAGCTAGACATGTCCTCAATCACTTCAATGTGTACTGCTCGTGAAGTTAAGCAAGTAAACAAGACGGCCCATCTTTTACTCTGAGCTGATCCACCACGCGTCTTTCAAGTAACTACCGGCCACGGACCAAACACATCAAGTCCTACAGAGGAAAATGGGGGTCCTGGGGTGAGCCGATCAACAGGGAGATCTGCCATCTTCTGTTCCTGGGGCATCCTACGGAGCTTCCGACACACAACGCAACCATGAATGATGGAGGATACGAGTTTCTTTGCTCCCAGGATCCAATAGCCATGAGAACGTACGGCGCCTTCAGTGATCGTTCTGCCCTGGTGGAAAACCTTGTTATGGATGAAACGTACCAGTAGTACTGCCACATGTCCGTTAGGAACTATAACTGGGTTAAGCGACGAGAGTCCTGTACTCTTCAGCTTGTTCAAACGACCTCCAACTCTGAGCAGACCTTTGTCATCAATTAAGGGAGATAAATCCAGAATACGACTGTCCCTAGGTAGGTCATGTTTTCTCTCAATTGCTTCGAGTTCAGCACCAAAGGCCTGAGCTTGTACACATCTAATAATGAAGCGTTCAGTGTCTTTGCGCGCAGATTCACATTTGGTATTCTGGCACATGTGCCAACCAGTACAGTCATTGGAACCTCGGTAGGAGGCAACTACATGTCGAAGTATGGACATTGCGGCCACAAGACTGTCCCAAGTAGAGTATTTACTAAAACGATCCTCGATCGGGGGTAGCTTAGTCGATACATGTACATCAGCCTTAAAGGTGCTCAATTCGGGACGAACATCCTTATCGTCATCAGGGCTGATGAGTGGGTATTCAACCTTAGGTTCAAAGCGAACCTTGAACAAAACTGCACTGGTCCAACAAACCATGTGTCTAACATATGACTAATGTCAGAAACTGATCCCCTAGTCGCTGCATCGGCCGGGTTCAGGTGAGTGGGCACATAGCTCCACTTTCTAGGGGTTGATACAGCATGGATCCTAGCAATCCTATTACTTACATAGTTGTAAAATCGTCTTGTCCTGTTTTTTATGTATCCCAATATAACCTTACTATCTGTAAAATATTGGATTGATGACGAAGCGATAGGGAGGTGATCTGACACAAATTCTCCTATTTCCGCTGCCAGCACAGCACCACATAGCTCCAGACGTGGAATACTATGCCCTGCTAGAGGTGCGAGTTTAGACTTTCCCATGACAAATCCAATGTCATGCTTCACCTTCAGGTAAGCTGCAGCTGCAATCGCAGTTTCCGATGCGTCGGAAAATATCAGCAGTTGTGGGTCTGATGCTAAGCTCAGCGACTGTGGAACGAACATCCGGGGAATATGTAGACTGCTTAACTGATCAAGCGACTTACTCCAACTCTCCAATCTATCTCGGTACTCTTCTAGTAGAGGATCATCCCAGCTTGGACTCCCTGTACACATCTCACGTAGAATCATCTTACCACATATTGTCACTGGAGACAGAAAGCCAATGGGGTCAAAGATACTGTTGACCCTTGAGAGAATTCCACGGCGAGTGAAGGGAACATCAGCATCTGGCTTCTGAAAGACGAAACAGTTAGATCTCAGATTCCAAGCCAATCCAAGGCTGTGCTGAACTACATCATCATCCCCACCAATCGACAAGTCCTGAACGTCCTTTCCCAAGTCAGCTGGAGGAAATACATCCACCACTTCTTGTACATTCGACACAAACTTATGCAATCTTATTTTCCCCTCTTCAGCAAGTACCTTCTGAGTTCGTCTCATAAAGTCAATCACTTCTTCAGGAGTAGGTCTAGACATTAATGCGTCGTCAACATAAAAGTCCTGGTGTACAAAGTTGACTACATCGTGATCCGCGTCTCGTACTGCCCGTCTAAGCCCATATGTTGCCACCGCAGGGGAAGGCCGATTCCCAAACACATGGACGGTCATACGGTACTCTACCATTTGACAATGTGGATCGTTGTTCTCACACCAATAGAACCGTAAGTAGTCTCTGTCTCTCTCGTTTACAAAGAAACGGTAAAACATCTGCTGGATGTCTCCTGCTATAGCACACAAATCCTTGCGAAATCGTAACAAGATTGCTAGCAAGTTGTTTGTCAAGTTGGGTCCTGACAAAAGAGCATTATTCAATGAACATCCCTGATACACTATCGAAGAATCAAATACAGCACGAACTTTGCCAGGTTTCTTAGGATGCGTCACAGCAAATATTGGGATGTACCAACACTCATGTCCCCTGGCTACCTCTGGTGCTTTCTCCGCTGCTCCTGTGTTGAATATGTTTTCCATAAATTCACACATCTGTTTTAGCTTTTCAGGATTTTTCTTCAAACTGTGGTCTAGGTTGCAAGCCCGTTTGAAGACTTGAGTTTTATTGTTCATAAGGTGTGGACGTGCATTCTTGAAAGGAAGTGGAGATGTTCAATTACCACTAGAGTTCTTCTGGAAAGTCTGGTCCATTAGTGACAAGAATTCGCGATCTTCCACAGAATTTCCCACCTTGTTGTCATGTCTGTCAGTGTAAAACAAATTATCACCTTTGAAGTCTTGAGCTTGAGGGGGCATGTAAGTAAGGGGGCCTTGGACCGTAACATGAAGGCTGTTCTGGCATGGGGTAAATATTGACCCTCTACCATCATTCTGAATATTGGTTTTCAAGACACTGAGATCACTTGGCTTGTGATGCCCATCCAAACATACCTCTCCAATTACGACCCATCCAAGGCTGAGCTTCTGTGCAAAGGGGGATGCTGGGGGCCCAGTCACCTGGCCTTGCACCTGATGCATATCCACCAAGTCCCTGCCAATCAGCAGCTGTATACCAACATCTCTGCATAGGGCGGCAAGTTCCTTAGCAATATGCCGTAAGTGAGGATGAGCATGCGCAACCTCTGGAGTTGGGATTTCCATCAAGTTGTCTGGAATGTCATTACACTCTATAACGGGCGGAAGCTGATGACAGACAAATCCATCCATAGACTGAATACAGAATCCCACTGCTCTTCTCCCAGATGTCTCAGTCACTCCAGCACAAGACTTCAGTCTGTAAGGGATGGGATCAGATGTGACTTCAAGTTGGTCCAAAAGTTCAGAGCGAGCTAGGGTGTGGTTGCTCTGATCATCGAGCAACACATAGTAGTTGCTGACACGAAAAAGATCCTTCACTGCTCAATGGCCATGAGTGCCGAGTATAGGTCAAAATTTGCAGCTTTCCACCGGCAAGTGGTGGCGTCTCCATATGAGTGAAAAATTCTCTAAACAATAAACAAACAACTGCTCTAGACCACAAGATATGTTATGTTCTTGACCAAATACTTTTTCGGCAAGTTCGAAGTCGTCAAACTAAAATTTGACAATAACTTGGCTAATTATCTTAAGGTTTCTTGACTTGGACACAAGTTCTCTGAGAAAGTGCCAGTCAACAGAAAAAATATTCGTAGTTTATATCTTGGTCAAAACTTTCTCACACAGATGTACCGTATATACTCGCCTATAAGTCGGTCCGCCTAAAAGTCGGTTGTATTTTTTAAATTTACATTAAATGGATTGATCTGCTATGATACCAATATTTTTTATAACTCGCCTATAAGTCGGGCAAGGGTTTTTTGACCAAAGTTTAACTCCCAAAAAACCGACTTATAGGCGAGTATATACGGTAATACAGATACATGTTATCTTTTGAACAAGTTGACACTCACCGACAAAAAGTAATTTAAATTTTACGATACACATAGTCAGCTGTCACCTGTGTTTGTAACCTAAAAATAAATATGAATCAATTATGCAATGACTTTTACGGTACACAGAAATGTTGCAAGTGGACGGGGAGAAGTTTAGACGAGAGCGATTTGGCATTATCACATGCTAGTTATAAAATTGCTTTCCTATGTTAAAGTAGGTAAAAAGCAAAACGTGGTTGTGAAACACTGATGCCCCCATATGGAAGCTTATGACCGAGGCAAAAAATTTATCATAAATAAGGTCAAAGTCAAGGTCATGCGATTAAAATGATGTAACCCAAAGAAAGGTCCTGTCACAAGGAGTACATTTGTGAAATATGACAGCTGTAGCACCAACAGTTTAAAAGTTATGAAAAAAGGTTTAGGTTTACAAAGTAGGTCAAACTCAAAGGTCAAGGCAGAAGAAAAAAAATGTTTGTACATAAAAGAAAGGTCCCATCACAAAAATTTTCCGATGAAATAAGAAAGCCGTAGGAACAAAAGTTATGGCTTAGGTTAAAGTATCTTTTAAAAATATGTTAAACTTTAAGGTCAAGATTATAATATCATAAATATTGGTACCCAAAGAAGGATCTTATCAAAGGAAATTCACTTGTGAAATATGAAAGCTTAGCACCAACAATTTAAACGTTTTGGTCAAAGTTAAAGTGTAAAAGTATTAGGTCAAAGTCTTAGGTTAAGATCATGAGGTCAAAAATGTTGGTATCCAAAGAAAGGTTTCGATACAAGAAATACACATCTTAAATATTATAGTCTTAGCACCAATCATTCAGAAGTTATGACCAAAGTTAAAGTTTTTTTTTTAATATATAAAACTTCAAGGTCAAGATCATTATATCAAAATTATTGGTACCCAAAGATAGATCTTGTCAAAAGGAATTCACGTGTAAAATATAAAAGCTTTAGCACTAATGATTCAAACGTTTTGGACAACGTTAAAGTGTAAAAGTATTAGGTCATAAAAATGCACATAAAAAATGCACATGTGAAATATGAAAGCCTAAGCACAAATTGTTTTGAACATATGACCAAGGTTAAAGTGTTAAAGAGGTGTGTCAAACTCTGAAGTCAGGCCATGAGGTCAAATTGTTGCTATCTTTTCAAAAATGTTTTAAAAGAAATTGAAGAAATTTTGTCGAAACGTATTGAATGTTTGAAAAACTAAAATGATATTTATTCATTTCGCCACTGAATATAAAAACAAGGAAAAGAGATAACATTCTATTATAAATCATTTTATAACATTTATTATTGAATGAACAATTTTCACATATTAATATATAATTTTATTACGTGTTTCATTCCTTCTATTCAAACTACCGCGCTTTAAACATGTTAGTAAAAAGTATTAAAAATTCAAATATCTATCTAATGAATAAACAATATAAAAATGTTTCTATCCAACAACAGGTAAAGCACAGCTATTTTGATCACAATCAGCTTCGAACAACATTCTATGGATCTTATGAAGCCAGAACTCCATGTACTCTTTTCTGTAGTCTTGCCTCATCTCAGTATTTAGTGACCTCAGCCTCATATAAGGATGACTAGAATTGCGATCGTAAGGCAACCAAACCGGAAGTCCGGGACCGTTTGGGTTTCTGAATATACACAATTTAAATACACAGCTGTCAGTATTAGATATTGTGAAATTAACTGATGACTTTTATCTACAAATCGCTTTTCAAACGCGTATATGAAAAAAGGACTGCAATACGTGGACCATATACATGTGTTTCTACACGAAATTCAAAGCAAATTTCTAGATTTAGTGATTTTACAAAGGTGTAATTAATTTTTTTTTTACATGTATCTTGTAATTTTCATTGCTATTTAAGTCTGCTTAATTAGGCTGTAATGATAAAAAACCATGACCTTGAAATTATGTGAATATGAAATGTTCAATCTAATTAAAATTAAATGTTCCGAATCCGTTACCGCATCTCAAAAGAAGCGGTAGCGGATTCGGAACATCTAATTATAATTAGATTGTGAAATGTTGATCTAGGTATCTATCACAATTGTAAACACTGGTAAAGTAGCCTTTAAAATTAATTAACAACAGAATTAAAAGAGGCCTAAGTGGGCAGGTGTCGTAATGGTGAATTGTAACTGGGGGAGATAACTCTTGCGATTTCAATAAAACGTTTAACATACCGTTAAATTTGACGTTAATTACAAAGGGTCAAAATGACGAGTGACACGATCCCGATGTAATTAATGTAAAAAAAAAAAATAGAATAGAGGTTTTTATTGTGGTTTCTTTAGGAATACCAATTCTTGTCCTTGATCATTTGCGCAATTGCAATAAATCTCCCCCTCCATAAAAAAGAAAAAAAGGACAGGTTCCTTAAACTTCTTTAGTTTAAATTTAATTAATTCTTTAATATTGTATTTATGATATACACAAAGGCATTTTTTAAATCTAAAAACGTTAATGCTACTCTACATTGCTTTTTCCCGTTACAATCGGCCGCATAACATTGAGAATAAATATTACCGGTATGTCTAAATATTATCATATTACGAAAATAAACATTTTCTTGCTTTTCTTTTCTTTGAAAAAAAAAATAAAGAGTAACCGTTTTCAGAAGGTCACCGATCAAAGAGAAACAACTCTAGATCTAAAAAAGCTGAGTTTTTCCTCCTGTTTTCTGAAGAATTATGGGTTTTTCCCATCACAAATACACAGATACATTTACAGTGTGTTGCAAGGAACACAAGAACTGAAAGCCAAAGTTTATACAAATTAAAGTAAGTATCAACAGTGAAAAATTATTTACTGAAATTAATACAACGGTTTGCACCCCATTGAGAAAATCTTTTACTGTAAACAGTTTCAGTTCGCATTTCCTTGAATAAAAACAAAACGATTAATACCAATGTAGATGATACCATTGTAGATGATTCAGGCACATAAATAATTTTAATATTGATAAATAATTTACAATTTGGAACAATTAAACTTGATATGGACTAATACATCATTTCCATTTATTGAAACAGCAGAAGGATACAATATCCGGGGGTAGGGGGTGGGGGTACAGCCCTCTTGTTTGAAAACAGAAATAATTTAAAACCTATATGTACATACATTGTATATTCCATTTTCGTCTCAAGAGAGTTGTACATACATCACTGTTAGTTCACTTAAAAATAATATTCAATGCAAGTAGAGGTCATATAAAGGTTTGAAACTGCACCTGTGTGCATGAACTCCAAACCGGACACGTGGTCATAAAATCCTTAGAAAAATAGTTTTACGAAATATAAATATAAAAAAAAATAATATTTAGAATTACAAGAAATATTTGTAGTCAATATTTAATCTGTATACACGAATGAAGGACATTACTTTAGGAGTTCAATATGTCAATTATATATATTATGCAGACGTAACCGATGTTTTTTTTTCAAGCTCGAATGTCCTGCATTGCAGAGAAGAATGGGGGGGGGGGGTCTTAAAATTTCAGAAATTGCTTATTCATATTCATTTAAATGCAGATGTTAAGTTTTATATTTGTGATAAATATAATGTACATTACGTTTTTTAATTAAAAGATTTTTCCAGCTAGGAATTTTTATTTGTATTTGTAGAATCATAGCATTGCTTTCGTCCTAAGTCTGAAAGACGCTGTGAGAAACGTAACTTACGGAGAGAGAGAGGGGGGGAGAGATTTTCCGCTAATTATCAAGAACATTTTGAATATCAGTTACAAGAAGTAATTTTTTTTTCAAAATTAAACGACAGATTTTTTTTATAAAAAAAAAATTTCATTTGAAAATCATGCATTTTTCAATGCAAAAATGAACCATAGTTTTTCAGCTTAAATTCTTCGAAATCGTTTTTCTCCAAGTGTACCTCTACAAAATCACTTTATATGTGTGTTTAATAGTTAAACAAACGATTCAGCAAATTTTGACAGCTAGGCTAACATTAAATATTTTAAAATAAGGGATTTAATAGTTAGTTGGTTGAAAATCTTTTGTACTCGTGATCAGCCAAAGAGGGGTAACTTTAGGAACGTCCTGTCCGAATTCGGCTCGAACGATTTTGACCAGAATGTACATACACATAGTATATATTTTAAATGTATAAAATATACAAAAATAGCGAAAATGAAATAACAGGAAATTTTTGGGGTAGGTGTGCTGTACATCCTTAAAGAGACAGTACATCGAATTTACTTCTATACTCCCACGAAAGATTACTAGCGCTTTCAGACTTTGAATATCTTCAAACAAATGGAAGAAAGGAAAGGGCAATAGGACTTTGATTTTACTATTCTTTCCAATAAAGAATTACACTTACCCTGTTTTGGCAAAATTCGTCCAATATGACCTCATTTGATTTACTAATATTCCGGCGCCTTCAGGATACTTAACATGTGACACTAACTGTTCATAGAAGAACAAGTAAACTAATTCCGTTGCGTGAGCAGAGCCACGATACCACAAAGGAGCATTTGGAAGCATGAATGAAAGTTCATCAAAAAATACATATTGATAAGTAGAAGATGCCTGGACATTGTTAGAGTGTTCAAGCAGCATTGAAGTGGATGGTCTAAGAAAGAGATAGTCACTAATGAGGCTTAAAAATTGGCGCCCTTGCTCTGCTACATCATTCTCCTTTACGGTGTACTTGTCACATACATCCTTGAAGACTCGGGCATTAGAATTCATTTTTTTATTTAATAAATTGGGTAGAAATACCTTACACATTTCCACCGGTGGAACACCAATGCTTATATTGAAGGTTAGTTCATCTTGAAGGAAAGGGAATGCACCGACTATTACAGAGCCTTCGTTCTCACAGTTACCTATCATTATATCCAATGACTGGAAGAAAGTAAATTCTGAAGAACTTTTATCTTGTAAAAGAAGAGTGGGTTCTCTTCTTAAGAGTTCTCCATCAACTATGGGAGCGAAAATTGCGCGCGATATTGCTCGAAGGCCTAAGTCGGAAGTGAACTCATCAGTAGCATTCACTAATTTCATTGGATCTACACTTCTTAAGCATCGCAGAAAGGTTGCATCATTGGACGATAAAGTGTTATACACACAGCCCACCTTCTCTGCAGTTTGTATTGTAGACAAGGAGGCGTTCACTGTCGCAAACTGTGAACTAGCAACCCCACTTTCCATAATCACCCTATGAAATAGTCCTCTGTTGTTAGGTATCAAGGCCAGTAGTGAAACACTGAATCCTCCTGCTGATTCGCCAAAGATAGTGACATCCCTTGGATTTCCACCATAGTCATGGATATTATAACGTACCCAATTAAGTGCAAGAATCTGGTCCCATAATCCCATATTTCCCTTTGCTCTATAATCTTTTGACGCCAGAAATCCGAAAATCCCTAAGCGATAATTAATGGTTACAACAATGACGTCACCGTTTAAGGCCAAAAAACCTCCATCATAGGATATTCCTGATCCCATAGTGTACCCTCCACCATGAATCCAAAGCATTACGCTTTTCTTGTTGGCAGGATTGAAATTATTTGGAACATAAATATTAAGCTGAAGACAATCCTCTGAATATTTGAAATTTTTAGATAAATCTGTGACAGTTTGGTAACAGGCAGGACCGAGGTTTGTAGCATTGAGAGTTCCGGACCATGCTCCAAAAGGTATTGGTTTGGCAAATCTTAAATGGCCGACAGGAGCTTTTGCAAATGGTATATTTAGAAATTTGTATAATGTTCCTTGATTTTTATACGAATCGAAGTGTTTTCCTACAATCGCACCAAGCCGTGTTTGTGCAAGAAAATCACTTCCAGTTTCCTCTGCACTTTGAGAATTATGCACCAAGTAAGAGAAAAGAAGAATTTTTAAACGCCACAAAACTGTCGTCTGCAAAGAATGAAAGTTAATTTGCGAGGTGCAAAAGAATGATTAAAATCTTAATTCACATGTGCAATAGGATATACAATGCAAGATTTACAAGGAAATGAAACTTTGAAATGAAATAAGTCTTTTCACTGAAGAGAAAGCTTTCAAATTTCTCACCTCCATTATCGTTGAATGTCTATTATAAAATGGGCATTGAGTGGTCATTTAGATGTGTGACTTATCATCAGTAATTCTTCCGAAGTATAAATACCTGTCTACATTGCGTAACAAGATAAAAGGATATAATTTTATCTTCTAATTCAGTTTGTGAAATAAAACAGACTGTAAACGAAAATGGACAAATTAAAATTCTCTCAGAATTTGAATAAAATTACAACAGTTATATAACTAGAAACTTAGCCAATCTCAGCAATAGTGTATATCACCCCAAACTGATCTCCTCTGTTTTCCTTGGAATGACCCCAACGGTACAATATAAGGAATAAAGTAGAGTAGCAAATACTGTTTTCAAAGGCTGTCCAAAATGAATTTGTCAGAATTTTTCCGTGTCAACGACAGGCATTTTGGAATTTTGAATCCCAGAATCTTAGGAGGTCATTTACTTATCATTATATGTAGTTATACATACTTTTAGTGCAATAAATCAAATTCAAACCATAATCCGCTTTTTGTTACGATGACCACAGTTTCTTAAACCGACACTAATTTTTGCGAAACCCAGTTTGCCGTTATGCGAAAGAATATTAATCTTTTAGATTTTCAGAAAGATTGGCTGCTTAATTACATGTACTTACCTACACAGTTCTTACTTACGATTCCATCCATGTAGCATCGTCACACATTTTGCATGAAAGGTATGCCTGAACCGAAGTAAAAATATTCTAGTTGATGACTTAGCATCGAAATGTCACTTCTGTTTTCAAGAATAGTTTACCATAACATATATTAGAATTGTAATTGACACCGAGAAATCGCTGCTAAGAATCGGCACATGCTATCATCGAAGGCAACATTTAAAAAATCTCTGCCGAAACATTGGCACCAGGATTTTTAGAGAAATGTTATCAAAGCTTGTCAACCCTTGATACTTTCACATTCAATAATGTTTTTGGAGGTCCGTGTTTGCTCTGCTCCCGATTTGTATTGTCTAAATGGACATTGAAGTACGGTTATGTACAAACACAAAGTTAGCACAGTACTCTACTAGACACAATGGTCACGAAATAGTAATTCTGCAACATCCCGAATAAAACCGGGCAACTGTTAGTCAATCCATTCTTTCTTTCCATACCACAAACCTTTTGCAACTTATTTCAATTTTTTTTACAGACAACTTTGATATAATACAAGGAACAATCCTTCCTTGTTTCAAAATGATAGAATAAAGAAGAAAATAAAAATTCAAAAAGGTGTTGAATTTCGTCAGTTTCCATGGCAACTGCATGTGCAGATTTTGAAAATTGAGTATGTTGTAAGCACAAAACAAATTGGTGACTTTCATTATTATGAAGTGCCATGAAGATTGCCCAACCCTCTTTGAGAACATTTCCAAAATTATATAAATGGAATTATAACTTTATCTCAGACCAAAGTCATTTAGTGTGACACATTTTTTTTTTCAATTTGTTATTATTCTTTACTGCAGAAAAAAATCTATATATGCTCTGTTTAGAGAAACAAGCAACATGATAAAATATATAACCTTATCATGATATCTTGTATTAATTTTTTTTTAATAATTATCAAAGTTAAACGGATTATTCCTATTTTAATAGCAAATACTTTTATTTTGAGTTGTCTCCTCTCTGTCCTATTTTATGTACTGTAAAGTTTACGTTTTGGCTAAGCGAGGAAATGTTTGCGAAGGTCACCTTATTTCACTGGTGTGGTGTAATCATTATTTTCACTATTTGTTATCGCTGATAAAAAAGACAAACAACATTGTGTACACTAAGCTATCCTAAAGATAAAGCTCTCCTGACACAATGTCATTTGTGAGTATGAATTTATTGTTATTATACATATAAAATATCTTATTCTGTTCTTAATCCTCTGTCATAAATAATTCATGAATTACTCACAGTCTGCATTTATTCATACTTTCATGCATACATGGACTTTCATTCATATTTGTAATGGTACAGAGTAAAATTATACCAACACTTTAATTCTGATGATATCAGCAATAGCATAAGTTGATTGATGTATCAAATATAATCAAATTTTAGATTATCGGCTTGGTTTTCGTTTTTACGGCAGTATAATATCAATACATTAAAAGTTAAAATTTTAGCGTTGAAATCTTATATATTTTTCTTATAATGAAGTAGTTCTTTCTGCGTCATTTGAATTTTATTTAGCCTAACGCTATTTAAAGTTTTTTCTCGGAGAAACTTTTAGCTAATATTCATACATTACACATCAACTGCTTTAGACCACAAGATGTTATGTTCTTGATCAAATACTTTTTCGGCAAGTTCGAAGTGGATGGTGGGAAAATGTCAAATTCATATCTGACAATAACTTGGTTAATTATCTTAGGGTTTCTTGACTTGGACACAAGTTCTCTGAGAAAGTTCCAGTTTACAGATAAAAATATTCGTAGTTTATATCTTGGTCAAAACTTTGTCACACAGTCGTACAGATACATGTTATCTTTTGAACAAGTTGAAACTCACCGACGAAAAGTAATTAAAATTTCTTACGAGGACACATAAACAGCTTCCGCGCATTTGTAACCTTGGAATGAATATGAATTAACTTAGGCAATGACATTTACGGTACACAGAAATGTTACAAGTAGACGGGGAGAAGTGAAGACGAGAGCGATTTAGCATTATCATAAGCTAGTTATAATATTGTTTTCCTATGTTCAAGTAAATAAAAACAAGATGTGGTTGTGCAACACTGATGCTCCTGTATGGAAGCTCATGGCCAAGGCAAAAATTTATCAAAAGTAAGGTCAAGGTCGGTTAAAATGATGTAATCCAACGAAAGGTCATGCCACAAGAAGTACACATGTAAAATGTGGCAGCTTTAGCACCAACAGTTTAAATGGTATGATACGGTTAAAGTTTATAAAGTAGGTCAAACTCAAAGGTCAAGGTCAGAACGAAAAAAAATGTTTGTACTTAAAAGAAAAGTTTTGTCACAAAAAACATCTGGTGAAATAAGAAAACCGTAGGAACAAAAGTGTTGCTTAGGTTAAAGTATTTTTTCAAAATATATTAATCTTCAAGGTCAAGATCTTTATATCATAAATATTGGTACATGTACCCAAAAAAGGATCTTGTCAAAGGAAATTCTCTTGTAAAACATGAATGCTTAGCATCAACAATTTAAACGTTTTGGTCAAAGTTAGTGTAAAAGTATTAGATCAAAGTATTAGGTTAAGATCATCAGGTCAAAAATGTTGGTACCAAAATAAAAAAGTACTAGAAAAATACAAATATGAAATATGAAAGTCTTAGCACCTATCTTTCAGAAGTTATGGGCAAGTTTAATGTTTTTTAGATACACGGAATGTATAACGTCAAGATCAAGATTTCAAAAATATTGGTACTCAAAGAAAGATCTTGTCAAAAGGAATTCGCATGTAATATAAAAGCTTTAGCACCAACGATTCAAACATTTTGGCCAAAGTTAAAGTGTGAAAGTATTTTGTCAAAGTCTTAGGTCAAAGTCATGAGGTCAAAAATGTTGGTACTCAAAGAAAGGTTTTGACACAAAAAATGTACATGTGAAATATGAAAGCCAAAGCACTGCACAAATTGATCAGAAGATATGACCAAGGTTAAAGTGTAAAAGAGGTGTGTCAAACTCTAAGGTTAGGTCATGAGGACAAATTGTTGCAATCCGAAGAAAGATTCTAACGCAAGGAATATACAAGTGAAATATGGAAGCCTCAGAACCCACGGTATGACCAAGGTTATATATTTTAGATATGTTCCAAATCCATATTCTTGGGGTAAAAAAAAGAAGAAGAATCTTGTCCCAAGGAATACACAAGTAAAACATGAAAGCCCTAGAATCAACCATTAAAAAGTAATGTGCAAGGTTAAACTCTTAAAGACAAACAAATGTACAGACAGACCAAAATCATATGATCCGAATCTCTGATTACGTGGATAGAAATACTGTATTGTTTTGAAATAGACTATATCATTATAAATTGTTATTTTTTTATCATGATTTTTCAGAATTACTTAGTCCTATTCCTTACGACAGTTTCCCTGGTCTCTGGATACCAAAACTATACAATTATTACAAGACTTGGAAATGTTAATGGCTTAGTTATTCCTACAACAGAGGGTGATATCTTCAGATTCACAGCCATTCCTTTTGGCAAAGCACCAGTTGGTAGCCAACGTTTTCTCAAACCTCAAGCATATGGTTCCTGGAACAGAACATTTGACGCTACTAAACTTGGTCCTGCTTGCATGCAGTCATATACCGGCGCTATTATATATGATAATAATTTATCGGAAGACTGTCTCCATTTGAATATATATGTTCCGTATAATATATCTAAAGATGTGAGAAGAAGTGTTATGGTTTATATTCATGGCGGGGGATACATGACTGGATCAGGTATTTCATACGATGGCTCTAGGATAGCCTCCCATGGAAATGTAATTGTTGTGACAATAAATTACCGATTGGGTATGTTTGGATTTCCATCTTTGCAGAACTCTGAAGTTGTTGAAAACGTCGGATTGTGGGATCAGATATTAGCTTTGAAATGGATCAAAGACAACATAGATGATTACGGTGGAGACGCGTCTAATATTACAATATTTGGGGAATCAGCTGGAGGATTTGCTGTCAATTTTCTGATGCTTATACCTCGTAACAAGGGTCTTTTCCATCGTGCAATCATTCAAAGTGGCACAGCCAACGCATTGGTTGCTTTAAAAAAATCATCCGTTGTTGGACGCCTGATAGGAAAGAACTCTGGTTGTAACGATCAAGACCAATCGATGTTCTTACGATGTTTGCGATATCTGGACGCAGGTTTCATTGTCAACAAAACTGATGAATATTCTGCAAATCTTGGCATTGACATTTTGTCTGAAATTGTATTTACCCCAGTACTAGATGGTGACTTACTACAAAGAACACCTATGGAATTAATTAAAGATAAGTCTTCGAAAGAATATCAGTTCTTTGAATCAATTGACTTAATAGTAGGTAACTGTGATATGGAAGGGGCATATGTCGTTCCCTTAGGTAAAGCATTCGAAACAAAATTTAGTTTCAATATATCAGACGGAATTCCAAAGCAATTTCTTTGTGATGGGCTAATACCAAGAATTGTTCAAAATTACTATGAAAATAGTTCATCCATTTCTGATCTTCTATGTCAAGAATATACAAGTGAAGACAAAACTGCTCAAAGTTTATATGTTGTTCATTTTTTGACGGATTTTGTGTTTATTGCACCAGCTGTGGACCTTTTACAGTCCCATGCCTCAAGCAAATCCTCCTCCACATATCAATTTATATTTTCGGAGGACCTGCGGTTGTTTTATCCAAATCTGCCGTCATGGTTTCATGGGGCGGGGCATGCAACGGAGCTGATATTTCTCTTTGATGCCAGAAATATGACAGTTACCAATTTTACTCTATCTGCGAAGCAGACATCCTTCTCAAAACAACTCATTGAGTACTGGACAAATTTTGCAAAAACGGGGTAAGAAAATTATTGTGTCGAAGTATCATTCCATGTTCATGTTATTTATTTGAAACATTGTAACCTATTCTTTTTTATATAACGATAAAATGTACATATAATATAAGTCGTTCTCTTCTGCTCACTATTCAGAAGATACGTTACTGAAGGTTATGAAAAAATTAATGCATTAGATACTAGTAGTAGGCTTAAATGTTTCTCAAATGGTCACAGAAAGATGAATTGTCAGGAAAGACGCAATTCAAACTCATTGAGATCTTTTAAATACTTCTGTGATACGAGAAATACTAGAAAAATTAACCTTCCTGACTATAAAGAGACGTGCAAAACAGATGAGATTTATTTATGTAAATTAATGAAAATATATCATTCTTTAGAATTTGCGTGAAAGTTCCATTGGTTTACTCTATCAGCTTATTATTTTTTTCCATCAGAAATCCAAACGGTCCCAACAAAGCAGACTGGCTGCCTTATCGAAGTGGTACAGAATCATACAAACAACTGAGCATAAGGAATATGACGAATGGAAACCATTACAGAAAGGACTATGTCAAACTGTGGAACACGATCGACGCTTATAAATTCCCAACGTCAGCGGGAGCAAATATGCAATCTAGAATTGGATTTAGTTTGGTTGTGTTTCTTTATGCTTTTAAATTGTTTACGTAAACTTCCTTAGCCTGTTTATTGTAACACTGACAGTAGTATAATTCAAAACATACAACTGCCAAAGATACAAAACTGTTTTTCCTATTTTTTGTAAACCGTTTTCTGCATAATATATTTTATATAAAATGACACTGTCACTACAATTTCTATCTCTACAGAATTTTAAATTATTTCACAAATAGTGAAGACCTATATACATATATTGATTTTGTTAATTTAGGAAAAGTAAAAACACATTTATAATACTTTTCTATCGTCGATACTCTTTTGAGAACCTATATATATTCATAGTACAACAGATCAGAAATAAAAAAGGATTGGAATAGTATAAATTAATAAAAAAAAATTCCGATGCAAGAAAACTGAATTCATATGTAAAATTGATCTTTATGTGTAATTTCAAGACTTTATTTGGTTTAAGTTCAGATCTACACAGTTAAAAAGTCATCTTTAAGATCCGTCGAGAATCGACCCGTATATCAAGTTGATGTATTGTTTTGAAAATTATGAAAAAAATGTTTCTGCCTCAACCATCTATTCATAATCTGGAGTAAACTAGATTTAAGTATACCGATAGAAATTTCTGCACATTGAATTCGGGTACATGTTATTAAAGTTACATAATGAGCCAATATATTGGGTTTTTTAAAAGATATTAATATTATAAAGTGAGAGATTTATGAAAAACATGAGTATAGTGAAGTTTTGACAAACTCAACTGCACTTCAACTTCAAAATGAATGTGCCGGAAAAACAATGATCTACTGGATCGTTGTTTTCGTCCATGTGAATGTCACACTATTTTTATTTTTAGCGTGACATTGAATTACATCGCAAAGGTGAAAAATATGTTCTGATAATTTTTTCGAAGACTGTATCAAAATCCTAGGTTTACCCACATTGAATCCTTTTAAGGTAGCATAAAATTTTATACAAATATCAAAAAACGTTTGAACGAATTTTACCTATCATCTAAAATTCTTTAAAAAAAAATTTTTTTCCCTCAACTTTGCCTTACAAAAATTATTTTTCCATGAGAAAAATAACGGTTTCCTTTCCTTGAGAATGAAGAAATCCTTGCCTACATACAGGGGGGAAATTATAACCATGCAACATTTATATGTATATCAAAAGTATATGTATTACAGAATTCTTTTGTTCAGTATTTTAAACACGATAAATAAAAGTATAATTGAACTTATATAACATGCAAAGCAGTTCATAGTATTCACTACATATAGTGTAAGTTGTCAGATGCTTCAGAGAGAATTGTCGTAAATATTGAATTTTCCAAAGGGCAGTTAATACAAAATTTTTATTGTAATATTTTAAATTTTGTATTTTATGCAACCCGATAATTCAAAATTCACTATATGTAATGTAATACAACTGCGATCGGCCGCAACCCATGTCACAAGGCTCCATATAAAATATTAATTTTTTATTAACATAAGTACATGTCCGTAACTGAATATAACCTGTATGTGCATACAGATCAGGAAGGTAAAATCGCACATTCAGTTATCCTCCCCAATATAGAAAGCCCACCTGTAAATAAATGATAATTGCATTAATGTTTACAATTTTTATAATTTTTCCCTTTTAATTTTCGTATAATTCATTTAAAGAGTTAGCTTTAGTATATTTTTTGCCTTCAAGTTCTTATGCAACTCAGAAACATTGAAATGTCTTTAAATCAGGCTGTATTGTTCATACATTGGTTAATATACACATCGATTCATTGGGATCAAACCTATGTATTTCATTAAAAACAAAGGCATTGCTAAAAGAAATATCAGTGAAGTCTCACGTATTTTCAAACAAAAACATTATAGTAAGTTACTAAAATTCTTTCTGCCTGAAAACAAAAATAACTTTTACTTTCCTCTGCACTTTGTGAAATTTGCTCCATTGAGGAAAAAAGATGGAATTTTAAATTCATGATACTGCAATCTGAAAAATTAAGTTTAATTGCAAGGTGGCAAAATCCTTTACAACACAGAAAAAATTCTAATGTATATAAAATAAAATTTAAATTGAATCATTGGTTATTGGTTATATTTCGAAATGAAAGTTTGCAAAGTAAAATTTAAAGCTTGAAGTAGAGAGAGAGAGATAGGGAGAGAGAAGGGTCTCCTTGATATGTGACTTATCATTAGGAATCCCCCCTTTGTACAAATTGTTTGTCGAGATTAAATAACAACGTAAATCTGGGTAGTTTTATCTCCTAATTCGATACCTGAAAGGATGACTAAGAAAAATAAATACAGTGATCTTAGCAGAGAAAATGGAATTAGGTTAAGGAACTAGCTTCGTGAATCAACTATCATAATGAGTTGGCCAGTACCCACATTACCTCAAACACCGGTAGTATTTGAGTATGGGGAAATCCTTCAAAAAAATGTACTTTTAATCCGTTTTCAGCTAAACTTTCTAGTCCAGTTTTAAAGATAAATATGAAGTGTTTTATACAAAAATACTAGGGATGTCAAATCGGTCAATTTTTGATAATCGGTTACTCGGACGTTTTTCCGATCGAGTACCCGGGTACTCGGTAAAAATATAAATACAAGTGTGTTAATTTTCTTGAGCCCCGTTAAGCTATATTAAACTCCAAAGCTGTTTTATCATGTTTATAAATGTATATAAACATTGAGTCCAACGGGGATGATTTTTTGGTACTATATTTATTTATCAAATAAACACAAAAGACACAATTAATACATCAAAAATTAGAAAATATTGTTTACAGTTCTTCTCATCAACGCAAAAGGAGGACAATCTGTTACGCAGGTTTGTGGTGGTTAGACTAGCGAAAGAGAAGGAACGGACGTTGTTGGGATCGCTAATCTAATATTATTTCATATGCTGGTTGTTTCCCCCGTATACATTAAACTTATTACGCAAACTGACTTTCAATATTTTTTGAATCTTTAATTATTTCTAAATATTTCTCAACTTTTGAAGTGGGTACTAGCATGTCCGATTTCGGTGCCGTATATTAACTTAATAATTTTAAAATGATTTGAAGATAATGGACCATATTTTAAAGTTCACTGAAAACAATCATTGAAGCCATCCAAAAATTAAGGACCACAATAGGTGAGAACAGCTGTGTACCAGGTGATTGGTCACTAATTACTGTATACACACTGCCACAGGCGATAAGGGGTGTTTTACAGGTGTAAATAACGACACGCTTATTACCGTATGCATATTAAAGTTATTTTTTTGATAAGTTTTGATAAAAATATGTACTTTGAAATAAGAAAAAATACACATCCGAGTAACCGAGTACCATTTTTAGTATTCGATACTCGGACGTTCGATCGAGTACCCGGTTAACCGGGTACTCGTTGACATCCCTAAAAAATACATTTTTTTTCTCTCCAATAATAATATAATTTAAAAAAAAACATAAATTCAAAGGTATTCAAGGGCATTCATTCATTTACAGGCCATAATATTCGGGAATAACGTCTTTTTCTGCATTGTCCCGTTGTAACAGGGAAACACCTTCAACAGATACCTTAATTTTCTCGAAATAGTTTAAATCTCCTCACAGCTCTTAGAAATTTCATAGGATTGTTCTATAACATCAAATTTAGATCTAACATTTTGTTGAGAGCCTCTGTTCAGAGAAAAGATATGGAAAACCACTGAAACAAAGGATTTTTAGGATGTCCCATTCGATAAAAATTTTAGATTAACTTAATTTCCATATGAAAATTTGAAATAAATTGTCATTAAATACACAAATTTGATTAGACATACACCGAGTACCTCTAAACAGTTACTTGTTTTCGAAAAGTGAAGAAGATTTTACATCTTTTAAAGCGAGTAATCAAACATCTTCCGTGTCCTGCAAACATGTCCCGATGCCTAAATGACTTCATGTCAAATATGTATTATAATTAATATCTTATGAATTTATTCCGAATTCAAGTTACAATTTCGTTGAAATTTATTTCACCGTAAGCACTAAAAATTATTTTCGGGTGGCCGGCAACATACATCCCGAAAACAGCATGTATGTTTGCTTATGGCTCTTTTAATCACTACCTTTTTGCTCTAATTTTTTTACAAAACAGACTGGTTGCCATATTTTAGTAGCACAGAATCATACAAACAACTGAGCATAAGGAATATGACGAATGGAAACCATTACAGAAAGGACTATGTCAAACTATATAACACGATCAACGGTTATAAATTCCCAACGTCAGTAGGAGGAAAATGTTCAATCTAGAATGATTTTTTATTTATTGTACTTTTGTATGCTTTAAAATTGTTTCTGTGAAGTTCCTGTACTTGCTTATAGAAATAAATACCTCAGTAGATTCAAATTAATTTAAACTTTCATTAGATTCAAACCTTTGATTTGGAATCCTAGTATTTTGTACCTTTTTAATGCGACTCCGTGTTTCTGCCCATTATTTGCTATTACATGGCATAGTCGCTGAGTTTTATGTGTAAAAAAGAAAATTCGTCTAAGCAAATATACATTATTTCATCGTTAAGACCTATAGATTGCCAATTTAGAAATTAAGAAATGACAGATCGCATTTCTAATACTTTCGTTTATCAATGCTCCAGTGAAGCCTTACTGATTTAAATAATACAAAACATATATTGTATCATTGGATACAACATTCATAGAGAAAGAGGAGGGCTACCATAAAGAGTAAAATTTTTCAAGAGAACTGAATTTTTGTATATTATTGATGTAGGACAAATTTCAGCATTCAATTTTAAAAAACATCACTTTTAAGATCAATAACATAGACCAAAATGCCCATTTGATATGTCTTATTTTGTATTACTTCAAGCATATTTTCATTAGTCCGGTGTAAGCAAGGTCTGCGATAAGCAAAAAAAAAAAAACATCTCTGCACATTAGAGATTATAAATTGTTAAGTATGTAATTTTACGCGTGTAGGCATATTAAGCGGTACTTATCTAGAATGTTTCAACAGAAAATTGCTAAACTTTTCTTGAACACATATAATTGTTGATATTGAAATTGTGAACAATAATGGGACAAACTTGCATCCTCAGTCAAATTTGTCTGAAAACTTTTAATGGTTTGTCCTCATTCATATTTTTATTTTCGAGAATTTTAATGAGCTTTCTTCAATAAACATAAAAAACTTGATAAATACAAATTGTATCTCCTCGACCATGCATCAGAAATTTTTGTAAATCAGATGTGTATTGAATCCACAATCTTTTAATGCAAAAAGAACATGTAGCGCAGAAATTTACACAAAGAATTTCGAAAAACGAGGATTATAGTCACTTTGACCTTTACATTCAGATAATGAATTAAGATTCAAACTGTTCACTAATATTAAATGTTGCTTTAAAGCTTGTGATTTTCCAAAAGAAAGGTATTTTATAAGTTGAATCCCAAACAATTTTAGAAAACTTTTCGATGCAAAATTTGTCAACAATGACATGCATTTCAACTTGATATAAAGGAATAATTGACATTATTATTATCTCTTGTTGGAGTATGAATAAATGTTAATTTTTTCCTGCAACTTTTTCTTACAAACCTAGAAAAACAGCTACATTATTCATTTAATCTTGTCTACATATATAGGGAAAATCCTTATTTACTGTATTACATATATATCAAAAAGTGAAGCCTTTGTTACGTACGAGTATCAAATACGTTTAATAATATGAAGAAATCTGGAATCTGCTTAGGAAGAAAAGTCCAGAGTAGCATCTACGAACAAATGTTTACATTTGTCAAATGCCTTAGACAGAATAGCTATAGTGTAAATACTGAATTTACTTGGTGGAAGTAGAATCAAAACTTACAACTGCCATATTTCACATTTTATATTCACTGCAGTCCAGTGAATTCAAAACTTAACATCGTTATGTACATAAAGACATGGTATGTACAAATACTGCAAATTCAGTACTTCTGCTAAATATATAGAGCTTTATTTAAATGATCCGTCCCCTTCTGAAAAAGCGCTGCAATACTGTATTTCTTTCCTTTTCCTCCTGAAAATAGAAAAATAATGCATTAATGCTTACAATTTTTACGCATTCTCAAACAGAAACATTACAGTGTATACTTTTTGACTCGATGCTTACTTTCCCCGTGAACCTGGCGTTTTTGCACTGTGGTGGAGGACTGAATACACTCGGGTCCAGAATGCTAGGTACTACATTCAGGACGTCTAAATTTATCAGTGTGCCAGAGCCTCTGTCTGCGCTCCCCACAAAATACACAGCACGTACTGGGTTGCATGCTTCTTATTTTTAAAAATATATATTTATTAATACTTCAAACAAATAGGTATGCTTGGCATTGAAAGTTATGTACAAAATGTTCATATTTTCAAATATTGAATATGAAACTGCAACATAGATGCAAGGATGCGATTTCAGCAAAATGTTTTGACACCATCAAGTCCATGTGCAAAAAAAATGAAAGAGTGGCAGTGTAAAATATTCCTTGCTTAGAGTCATTCAAAAACTATTCACATATGGACAGTGACATTCATACTTCCGGTAAATTTACGTGAAAGATAGTGTTTAAGTGAAGTGTTTAAAAATGTCTTACTCGTGGGTATATTTTGGATAACTGTTGCGTCAACTGATGCTGGAAAGTCATCATTGGTGGTAAACCTGTAATTCTGGACCTTATTCCAACTAGAAGCCAATGAGCCGGTACTCACCAATTTTGCTTCATCTGCCAAATATAAGAAGAATTGTATCTTTAGACTTTCGTTTTGTATTATAAAAGCAGTTAATTACAACAGAAATTATTACTATACCTGGTACACATTGTTTTGTCATGTTCTCTATAGTACTTTTTTGACAGCTGCCGTCTAGATCAATGTTGTATTGAATACCCTATTTATTTATAAGGTAATACATAAATAAAATATTTGTGTAGATTTAAATTAAAATGCATCATTAATACTTGAAAATTTTCATAACTTACAATTTTGTAGTCATTGATAATGGTTGTGTCGCTGGGTACAGGACCGGGAATGAGCGGAGACACTTGCGTTCCTTTCAATTTGAGATAAGTCCTTTGATTTAGGTAATCATACGCAGTTTTTACAGTCCCATTAATATAAGAGTAAGCTGCTTTAGGAGCCGCTGCCTGATCTTTGTTGATAAACACTGTTCCATAGTCCAGGAACATATCGGCCACCCATTGATCTGGGGTGCAGCATACTTCGGAAAGGCTAGGTTGTATATTGACTACTAAACATACCGACAATGTAATAATATTAACTGCGTTCATTTCAGCAATCATAAACGATTAATATTAGATTGATTTATTAACTCGTATGAGCTCATATTTGTATCACATTTAAGTTATTGATAATCAAAGTCAATATTTACATATTATACCCTTGCACATATCAGTTTTGAATTCGCAGCCCTAATGGTTTAATTAGTTGAACAAATAAGTTGTCTTTATAGAATTTGACGTAAAACGATTCTCAATCTTACTTTTTTATTCAATATTTGTTAAATATATGAAAAAAAAATATTTGAAATCTTGTCATTTTTACATATTTAAGCTAGTAAATAGTACAAGATTTGGCATTTTGGTATGCAATACTGTAGGCCTTTCAACTAATTTTTCAATTTGCACATATGGTAAAAAACAGTTGATAGATAGTTTTGTAGGTACATGAAATTCTCAAAAGAAGATTATAAACTATACATACCTTTAATTTAATCATAAAAAAATTAATTATTAATATTTGATTTGTAAGATGTTGTGTTTTAAGGACAGGTAACCAAGTGTAAAAAAAACGACCAACAAAGTGCCGATTTTTGAGTTATCGTTTATAGGAATGACATATAGGCTGCTTCAATTGGTATTGTTATGTTCACAAAAGGGTTCATTATATTCTTTGGTACACAAAAGGGTTGACCAAAACAAGGAGAATGTCTTCACTCTATACCCGGAATAACGGGATCAATGAATGGGGAATGGACTATATTCAAGATTTTTAACTCTATCCGACAGTTGTTATGAAGAAGAAAATATAATGCCATGTTTTTTGTGTGTGTATTGTTGTGCTTCATCTATAAAGATATATATTTCTACAATTAAATGCAACAATAAATTATATTATTCTTTTCACTAAGCACGAAGAAGAATCAACAAGTATAAAAATTAAATCAGGTCAAAATTAAGAAGGGGGATGGATTTCACTTTCTATTTTTATTAAAAATTTCACTTATATATTATTGTGCAGTGTCGGTAACTACATGATAAATAAGTTTAACATTTGAGCTAAATTTTAAAACCACTGGATTCCGCTGACAGTGAAGGAACACTTTGGAAATGCTAAAACTTGACATGCTTAAAAACAGTTAGCTTCCTCGGACCCGCTGTAAACAAGTTCCGGTAACGGGTTATCGTTCTTTTCATCGAACCCTAGCGGCAGTTGAAAGGCCTAAATACTGATGAAAAAATGTTTCAAGTAGTAAAAATAACAATGCTCCGGCTATTAGGTATCTAATTCTTACAAAGAAAGAGAAAAAAGTGTGTACAATTTTGATTTCATCAGAAAATCTGCCTACAAGTAAATACTGAAAAACACTGCTATGAAATGAAAATATATCATCAAATCTGAGAATATTGGCAAATCAGAGGAGCAATATTTTCGTATCTTCTTTGCTTTCAATTTTTTCATCCATGCAAACATAAAAAATGAAATAATAACTGCGTTCATGTCAGCAATCTTAATTGATCGTTCATTAATTTAGCTCTATAATTATTAACTATAATTTATTACTTCTGACCCGAGTCGTCTAATGATACTTTAGTGATTCATGGATAGGTTTTAAATCAAAAAGGTGTAATGAATATAATACACTTAGTATTCAATATATCAACTATTCGTATAAATTAAAATATCCTCACATTTATTCTTGCAAAACATATAACTATTTATAATATAAAATATATTAGCTGTATATAAATGAGTCATCTGAAAATACAAGAATGCAAAAAAAATTCTAAAAACATCAGATGTGGGATCAGGTACCATGGAGGAGTAAGCATACCCTGTCGATCGGCCACACATGCCGTGTACTCCTTGTCTAGATCGGGCAAAGAGAAATATCTGTAGACAATTTAGTGTTTGAATATTTTAAAACAAAACATTACTAATAGAGGTGCTGCTTAAGGAGTAATTGCTAATCAAACTCTAGAGTGGAAGAAAGGAAAGAGCAATATTATTTCCAAATTAGAATTACCCTTACCCTAATTTGGCAAAGTTCGTCCAATATGACCATATTTAATTTACTAATATTTCGGCGCCTTCAGGAAGTTTTACATGTGACAATTACTGTTCATAGAAGAACAAGTAAACTAATTCTTGTTCGTGATACCACAAAGAAGCATTTAGAAGCATTAATAAAAGGTCATTAAAAATACATATTGAAAAGCAGAAGACGCTTGGACATTGTTGGAGTGTTCAAGCGATGTTGAAGTGAACGGTCTAAGAAAGTCACTAATGAGACATAAGAATTGGCGCCTTTCCTCTGCTACATCATTCTCTTTTACGGTGTACATGTCACACATCCTTGCAATAGCAAGCATTAGAATTCATCTCTCCATTTAATAACTTAGGTAGAAATACCTTACACATTTCCACCGGTGGAACACCAATTTTTATATTGAAGGTTAGGTCTTAAAAGAAAGGGAATGCCCCATATTACAGAGCCTTCGTTCTCAGTTACCTATCATTACATCTAGTGATTGGAAGAAAGAAAATTTTGATGAACTTTTATCTTGTAAAAGAAGTGTGCTCTCTTCTTGAAAACTATCCATTAAATATGGGAGCAAAAATCGTGCGCGAGATTGCTCGAAGCCCCTAGTCAGTAATGAACTCATCAGTTGCATTCACTTATTTTCATTCGGTCTATACTAATTAGGCATCACAGACAGGTGGCAACATTAGACGACAATGTGTTGAACACACAACCCACCTTCTCTGCAGTTTGTATTGTAGGCAAAGGGGCGTCTACTGTAGCAAATTGTGAACTAGAAACTCCACTTTCCATGATCACCCTATGAAATAGTTCTCTATTGTTAGGTATCAAGGTCAATAGTGAAACACTGAATCCCCCTGCCGATTCCCTGAAGATTGTGACATCCCTTTGATTGGATCCTTTTAATAGCATGAAATCCCATATTCCCCTTTGCTCTATAATATTTTGACGCCAGAAATCCGAAAATCCCAAAGCGATAATGAATGTTTACAACGATGACGTCACAATTTAAGGCCAAAATGTGTCCATCGTGGGATATTCCTACTCCCATAATATACCCTTCATCATTAATCCAAACTATTACGCTTTTCTTGTTGGCATGATTGAAAATATTTGAAACATATAATATCGAGCTGAAGACAATCTTCTGAAAGTCTGAATATTTGAAATTATTAGATAACTCTGTGTCAGCCTGGTAACAGACAGGACCACGGTTTAGCATTGAGAGTTCTGGACCATGCGCCATAAGGTATTGGTTTTGCAAATCTTAAATGACCGATATTTTATTAGATATTTGTATAATATTCCTTGACTTTTATACCAATTGAAGTGTTTTCCTGTAATAGCACCAAGCCGTAATAGTGCGTGAAAATCACTTCCAGTCTCCTCTATACTTTGAGAAATATGCACCAAGTTAGGAAAAAAGTAAAATTAAACCCACAAAACTGTCCTCTGTAAAAATAAAAAAAGAAAGATGATAATAATAATAGTGAATTTGCAAAGTGCAAAAGAATGTTTAAAATATAATACACAAGAATAAAAGGATAAATGATAAATTTACAAGGAAACTCCAATGGTAAAAAAAGCACAGACGAGAAAGATTACAAATTTCTCACTCCCATTATCGTCGAATATCTATTATTTTATTTTAAAAATGAAGAGAGAATGGTCACTTAGGTATGTGGCATATCATCAGTAATTCCTCTGAGGTATAAATGTCTGTCAACATTGCGTAACAAGATAAAAGGGTAAAGTTTTATCTTCTAATTCAGTATGTGAAATGAAACAGACCATAAACGATTCGAAAATCAGATAAAAGATTAATTTTACCACAATTTGAATAAAATTACAACAATTATATAATTAAAATTTCTCCTAATGCAAACAATAAAAATTAAATTTAATCCGTTTTTTTTTTAATCACGATGTAAAACGCTTCCCCAACCGATACTAATGTTTGCGGAGGCCACTTTGCCGTTATGCAAAGAATATAAATCTTTTAAAATTTCAGAAAGATTGGCTGCATAGAATCTTACCCACACATTCATAGCTTACATTTATATGCATGTAGCAGTTCATCTCATAATTTTCATAAAAGTTATTAATCATTATGAAACGAAATTATTTCGAGGGGTAATCAAAAAGTTTGCAAACTAATTGAATTACTTCCATAAAAGAAATCAAACTGGGTTTCATTGTTTATTATTGTTTAAAGTAGACCCCTCCGGTTTTAATGCATATATGCCAGTCTTCTGTCCATGCACGAAACACGTGGACCAGGCGGTCACTTGACATTCTCCGTAGCGTAATATTCAGAACAGCTCAAAGATTTTCCCAGGTCTTATATTTCTTACGTTGCAGGTTATTTTTAGAATAAGAATAGTCCATTTTCACAAATTGCCAAAAACTCGGCAAGAGGATGGGTGGATTAAGATATCTTTTCCCGTTATGAGCATGGTGTCCATCAGATCCAGACTCTTCTGTCGTGGGTGTGTCATGCATCCAATGTGGATCAAGTATGGGCGCTTTCTCTATATCATAACTGATCTATTAACAGTCTTAAGTAACTGAAATTTTGTGGGATTAAGAATTAATTCATTGTTCAGTAAACTTTGTTTTTACAATCTGAGACTTGGTGATATTTATTTACAAATTGCTCACACTAGGGACACATCTCATTCCCAACTTACATTCACTTTGCAACCAGAACGAACATCATTTTTTAATAATCTCATTTCCTCCACAAACAATCAATCAAATTACTAATTGAACTTTTAAAGTCCTGTGTCTTCATAAACCTTCTACAAATTATTATACATTACTGTCATAGATTTTCCAAGATTTAATTAAAAACTTTACAGCCGTTCCTTGCTAGAACCGTCCGAGTCAACCTTTTTTGTCACAAATCATTACATAATGACGTCATTTTCACATTGTGACGTCATAAACATGGAACAAAAAATTATGTAACACATGCTGTTTATAGATCATGTTTATGACAAAATATATATCAAATTTCTTTCTTATTTGAATTGTGGTTATGCAGCTACAATGATAGCTCGCGAACTTTTTTATCACCCCTCGTATATTCCGGGTTATGACCGAAATGACCCTTTTGTTTTCAAGGCTAATGTTACCAGCACATCATGTTAGACTTGTAACACCCATTGGGTAATCTCTGAAAAAAATTGGCACATTCTGTCATCGCAGGCATCTGTAAAAAAAAAAAAATAATAATAAACTGAAAAAACGACAAAAGATAAAGCTGATCTCGCCTACAGTGTGATGTATAAAACCTCAAGGATGTCCAGTATCTCACTGACAGTTCCAATATCTCAAACAGCAGTCCAGGATGTTCTAGAGAAATGCTTTCAATTTGATTACTCAAAACTTATTAACACTTGACACTTTCATTTTCGATATTTACATACAGATGCTTCAAGTATCATGCATACTGGCTATAATATGTAATGTATGTGCCAACAGCACAGTACTCTACAAGATACAATGGCAACGTGATAGTAATGCTGTTTCATCCCGAAAGAACAACGAAAAATCTTTTATAACCTCTGTCATATTCTCTGCACAACGACATGATGCAAGGAAAACCCTTCAACCTTTCAAACAGACTGGTTGAGCAGTTTTTAGAATAACAAACTTAAGAACGTCTCATTTTTTCGAGTTTCTAAGGCTAAGATTACAATTTTGATAATTCAAAATGTTGAAAGCACAAAAAAATGAGCTATCATTTATATGAAGTTTTTATGAAAATTGTCCAAGGCATTTGCAAGAACAATCGAGTACAAAGTTATACAAGGACCATTAACAATATATTTCTCCAACTTCGTTCGGAGTGACAAAAATTTAAAAAATATAATTCCAAAGATTTTATCGATATCATAATATAAAATTTTACCAGTTCATAAAAATTTTATGCTGATTAAGTTTTTTTTTAAAAAAATGACTATAGACAAGCGGTTTATTACTAGTTCAACAGTGAAGTTTCTTATTTTGACTTATCTCACTCTGTCTATTGAGAGACAAATGACGCCTACACCAGAAAAATGCAATACATTCCATAAAGCAAACATGTATATTTCATGTTAAGTTTAAACGAGAAAATGTTTAAATTTGTAAAGGCCACTTTATACCTCTGGAGCGGTGGTATCTTTATTTTAACCACGAGATATACAATATGTTATCGCGATAGAAAAGGTAAACAATTTGTAAACCCGTAGTACACGAAGCTTTCCTGAAGATAAATCCGACCCGAAACAATGTCATTTGTAAGTATAAATTTATTGTTGTTGCACATCAAAAAAATTACCTTATTCTGTCCTTAACTCTTTGTCTTAAATAATTCAGATATTATTCACAGTCTGCATTTATACCTTTCTGAACTTTCATTCAAATTTGTAAAGGTATCTTTATACGAACATTTTCATTTCGAAGATATCAGAAATTGCGTATTGGTCAAATGATGTATCAAATATAATGAAATTGAATTTAGACTATTGGCTTGATTTTTGTTGTTAAGGCAGTATGAAAATGCATTTTATCGCTTTTTAAAATCAATTCTTTAGGTGTAGAAAACTATGTACATTTTTTTTTATTTGCAATGGAGTCCTTTATTCTGCTTTATTTGACATTAATTTATTTTAATTTCGGACACTCATTAAGTTTTTGTCACGGAGAAGCTAATATTCATACGCGACACAACTGCTTTTTGCTTTTGACCAGATTTTATGCTGTTAAACAAATGATATTTCGACAAGTTCGAAGTTGATGTTGGGAAAATGTGAAATCTGCAGTTACAGCTCATATTTGAAAGTAAGTTGGCTAATGATCTTACTTGACTTGGACAGCGGTTCCTTGAGTTATTTCAAGTTTACGGATTAAAAAATATGCAAAGTTTATATTTTGGTTAAAACTTTGTTACACATATGTAAAACAGCGCTGAAACTTGCCATATAATTGAAGGTAACAAGTCTTTGACATTAGTTATAATACTGTTATTCTATGTTAAATTTTGTAGTTACAGGATCTGCTTATAAAACACTGATACCCCCGTATTGCAGCCATGGACAGAATCAAAGTTAATCAATTGCAAGTTAACCACCAAGGCCAAGGTCATGAGATAAAAAATGTTTTAAAACCCAAAGATCTTCATTACAAGGGATAAACCTGTGAAATATAAGTCTTAGCACCAACCAGTCAAATGTTAGATCCAGGGTTAAAGTTTATAAAAAGGTAGTAAAGATCAATATTTTGCAGTCACACAGACAAACAGACAGACACTCCAAAAACTATATGCCCCAAACCTCCAATTATAAGAGGACGAAAAAAATTGTTTTGAAATAGACTTTATCATTAATTTATTTTTAATTCTACAGCAATACATAGTCCTATTCCTTATGGCAGTTACCCTAGTCTCCGCGTACCAAAACTTTACCGTTATTACGCGTCTTGGAAATGTTAATGGCTTAGTAATTCCTACAACAAAGGGTGACATCTTCAGATTCACAGGAATTCCTTTTGGTAAAGCACCAGTTGGTAGCCAACGTTTTCTCAAACCGCAGCCATACGGTTCCTGGAAGAGAACTCTCGATGCGACTAAAATTGGACCTGCTTGCATGCAATCATACACCTATGCTAGTGTATATCATAATTATTTTTCAGAAGACTGTCTCCAGTTGAATATATATGTTCCTTATAATATTACTCAAGATCTGAGGAGAAGCGTTATGGTTTTTATTCATGGCGGGGCATACATGCTTGGATCAGGTATTTCAATCGATGGTTCTAGGATAGCCTCCCATGGTAATGTAATTGTTGTGACAATAAATTACCGCCTGGGTATGTTTGGATTTCCATCTTTGCAGTACTCTGGAGTTGATGAAAACGTCGGATTGTGGGATCAGATATTAGCTTTGAAATGGATCAAAGACAACATAGATGATTATGGTGGAGACCCGTCTGCTATTACAATATTTGGTCAATCAGCTGGAGGATTTTCCGTCAATTTTCAAATGCTTATACCCCGTAATAAGGGTCTTTTCCATCGTGCAATCATTGAAAGTGGCACAGCAAATTCATTAATTGCTATGAAAAGATCATCAAATGTTGGACGCCTGATAGGAAAGAACTCTCGTTGTAATGATCAAGACCAATCGATGTTCTTACGATGTTTGCGAAATTTGGACGCTGGTATCATTGTCAACAAAACTGATGAATATTCTGCAACGCTTGGCATTGACGTCTTTTATGAACTTGTATTTACCCCAGTACTAGATGGTGACTTACTTCAAAGAACACCTATGGAATTGATTAGAGATAAATCTTCGGAAGAATTTCAGTTCTTTGAATCAATTGACTTGATAGCGGGTACCTGTGATATGGAGGGAGCGTATGTTTTTATCACAGGTAAACCTTTCGAAAGAGAATTTAATTTCAATATGTCAGATGGAATTCCAAAACGATTTCTTTGTGATGCGTTGATATCAGGATTTGTTCAAACTTACTATGAAAATAGTTCAACAATTTCTGATCTAATATGTCAAGAATATACCAGTAAAGACAAAACTACTCAATCTTTGAATGTTGCACATTATTTGACGGATTTTCCGTTTCTTTTGCCAACTATAAACATGTTACAAGCTCATGCCTCAAGCAAATCCTCCTCAACATATCAATTCATATTTTCGGAAGGGGAACACTCGCTTTATCCAAAGTTCCCATCTTGGCTTCATGGGGCGGGACATGGAACTGAGTTGATATATCTCTTCGATGCTAGAAAGTTGGCAAATTCTAATTTTACTCTCTCTGCGAAGCAGGCGGCATTATCACTACAGCTAATTGAATACTGGACAAATTTTGCAAAAACAGGGTAAGAAAATATTTCTGTGAAATAAGGTTTCTTCATATGAATTTGAAATGCTGTAATATATCCTTACTTCATGTTTTAACGAAAAAATATGCAGAAGGAAAAGACATATATTTTGTTTTATAATAATTCATTAATTTTTAGCTATTCAAAAGATATGTGAGCTGTAGTGTATAAAAAAAACTCATATATTATGTGTGTTCAAAACGTAGTTTGCGTAAATGTTTCACCAATGGTAAATTCAAACTCATAACCTTTATTGATATAAAAACTACAAAAAAAGTTAGACTTTCCGAATATCAAAAGACAAACATGTATTTATTTTTAAAAAAAAAAACAGACGAGACGTAAGTTATAAATAAAGAAAAGTATGTTTTTCGTTATGATTCTTATAAAGCTTATAAAAAACGGGAGAGATGTAAGTTAAAAAGTATAATTTTGTTATAATTCTTATGAACCTTTCATTGTGTGTTTACTTACTCGGTGATATTAATTATTTCCATCAGAAATCCAAACGGTCCCAACAAAGCAGACTGGTTGCCCTATCTCAGTAACACAGAATCATACAAACAACTGAGCATAAGGAATATGACGAATGGAAACCATTACAGAAAGGACTATGTCAAACTATATAACACGATCAACGGTTATAAATTCCTAACGTCGACAGGAGGAAATATGCAATCTAGAATCATTTTGATCTTGGTTGTACTTTTTTATGGTTTAAAATTGTTTCTGTGAATGTCTACTTGCTTATAGAAATAATTACATGTACTTCAGTCGATTAAAAAATTTAAACTTTCAATAGAAACAAACGTCTGATTTTAAATACTATTATTTGTAACTTTTTTAATGCAACTCTGTGTTTCTTCCTGTTAAATGGCACTGTCGCTGAAATCCATATGCAAAGAAAATTCGTATCAGCAAATATACATTATTCCATCGTTAAGACCCATAGATTGCCTATTTGGAAATTAAGAAATGACATATCACATTTGTAATATTTTTCTATTGGCAATGCTCCAGTTAAGCGTACTGATTTTAATAGTACAACATTCATAAACAGAAGAGGAGGGCTACCATACAGAGTTGAATCTTCTAATAAAGGAGAACTGAATCTTTTTTATGTAATTGATCTCTGTATGAAATTTCAGGACGAATTTCAGCTTTCAATTAAAAAAAATCAATTTCAAAATCCGTCGATTACGTCGACCAGTATACCCAGTTAATATGTTGTTATTTTTGTTACAAAATGTACTACTAGCAAAAAATTTAACAATGCGTGGTAAGCAAAATTTGCAATAATCGAAAAACTTCTCTGCACATTGAATTAAGGTACAGATTATTATTAATTGAGTATTTAATGCAAGAAGGTAATGTTACGGGTGCATGCATATTAAGCGGTACTGTTGTTGAATTCTCCTTTCTGTGTTATCTAAAATGTTTCCACAGAAGATTGTTGAAATTTTCTTGAACGCGTATCATTATTGATATTGAAAATCTGAAAAAATACTGGGACAAACAGGCATCATCAGACAAATTTGTATGAAAACTTTTAATGGTTGGTACTAAGTTACATTTTTATTTTCATGAATTTTAATGAAATTTCGTAAATAAGTTTAACCTTGATAAAATTGACGATAAAAAAACCCCACAACCATACTTTTATAAACAGGAGATAATTAATAGGTACAAAAACAAAGACTTCTTTTAAAGGAATCAATCAGAAATCGAGCAACTCAGATGTGTATTGACTCCTTCATATCTTTTTAATGCTAAGAAGTACATGTAGCACAGAAAATTACACAAAGAATATCGATAAGCGAAGAACGAATTATTTTTTATCTTAACTTTCAAATATTGAATTAAGGTTCATAAACCCTTCGTTCACGCATATAAAATGCTGCTTTAGCACTTATGATTTTCCAAAAGAAATGTACTTTATAAGTTGAATGCAAACCATTTTAGAATAGCTTGGGAGGCAAATTTTGTCAAAAAGCAATATTTCAACTTGACTTTTTTAAAGGAATAATGGACATTTATTCAATTAAGAGTTATCTCTCTTATCTGAGTATTAATGAATTTGATTTTTCCTGCAACTTTTCTTAACAAAAATTGCTTCCCCCAGGAGCAAAAACCCAGCTACATTGCTTGAGAAATAAAGAAATTCTAGTCCAAAAATACAGGAGAAAATCTTATTTATTTTTAATTATATATTAAAAAGCAAAAAATATGTAGAGATATAGAACTTGCATAAGAAGCAAAGTAGTTCATAGTAGCATTTACGTGCAAATGATCACATTTGTCAACTGTCTCAGATAGATCGTCATATTGTAAATACAAAGTTTTCACAGTCAATCACAATCCTCGACATAAAATATTAACAATCTATGAACATGAGTACGTATCTTAGTAACACAGTTATGTACATACAGACCAGGTATGCATAAATATTGAACATTCGGTTACCTTTTATCTAAATGAAGAGTCCCTTTCTAAATAAGCGGTGCAATACTGTATTTCTTTCATTTTCCTCCTGAAAATAGAGAATAATGCATAAATGCTTACAATTTTTCACATTCTTCAACAAAAACATTACAGTATATACTATTTGACTTGATGCTTACTTTTCCCGTAAACATGGCGTTTTTACACTGCGGGGGAGGTTTGAATACACTCGGGTCAAGAATGCTAGGTACAACATTTAGGGCGTCCAAATTTATTAGTGTTCCACTGCCCTTCTCTGCGCTCCCCACAAAATATACAACATGTACTGGGTTGCAGGAGTCTGAAATATTTTTTTTTAAAATAATACTTCAAACATTTGTAGGTATGCGTGGCATTGAAAAATGTGTATAAAATTTTCCTATTATGTACCTAAATATTGAATATGAAACTGTGAAATATAAAGTTCCACAAAACATTTATACCCAATGTAACAAAGGAACGATTGGCAGTAAATAATATTCATTGCTTTAAGTCATTCAAAATTTATCCAAATATTGAAAGCGACACTCATACTTACTGTAAATTTATGTGAAAGATAATGTTAAAATCTCTTACTCGTTGGTAAATTTCGGCTAATTGTTGCGTCAACTGATCTTGGTAAGTCATCATTGGCAGTGAACCTGTAATTCTGTACCTTATTCCAACTAGAAGCCAATGAGCCGGTGCTAACCAATTTTGCGTCATCTGCCAGATATAAAAGAGGAATCGTACATGTATATTGAAACACTTTGTATTCTTTGATATAAATAATTAAAAACGGCAAATTTAATTATTGTACCTGGTACACATTGTTTTGTCATGTTCTCAATAGTACTCTTTTGACAGCTGCCATCTGGTCCGATGTTGTACTGAACACCCTAGAATATTTAATCATAATAAAGTAATACATTTGTGTATTTCTTAATGAAAATTTATCCTAGGTACTTGAAAATAAACATAACTTACATTTTTGTAGTCATTTATAATGGTTGTGTCGAAAGGAGCTGGGCCCGGAATGAGCGGAGACACTTCCGCTCCGTTCAATTTGAGATAAGTCCTTTGATTTAGGTAATCATACGCTGTTTTGACAGTCCCATTGATATAAGAGTAAGCTGTTTTTGGAGCATCTTGATTTTCGTCGATAAATACTGTTCCATAGTCTAGAAACATATCGGCAACCCATTGATCGGGAGTGCAGCATACTTGAGAGATGCTAGGTTGTATATTGACTACTATACATGTAGACAATACAATGATATATACTGCGTTCATTTCAACGACCTTCATTGATAAATATTTTAAAATATTCTTATGTTTAACTCGATGGATCTCATATAACAGATCTAATCACTTTGAAGATACTGATAATCAAAGTCAATATTTACATATTTTATCCCTGTACGTATCAGTTTAAATTTACAGTCTTAATGAATCAGTTAGTTGAAAGAATATTGGATGCTTCGTTGTGAAATTTGACTGAATAATTCTTTATCTTATTCATTTAATTATTTGATTAAATATGTAAGAATAATATGCATGAAATATAATCATTTCACATAGTTTAGCTGGTTGATAGTGCAAGATTTTTTGGTTAATAATACCGATGACAAGTGTAAACAAGTAGTAAAAATAACAATATCATGGCTACTGGTAACCAGATTCATACAAAAAGGAGCAGCAATATGTAGAATTTAGATGCCATTAGTAAAACTGCAAATAAGTAAATATTGACAAATATTAAAATAACATGTATCATCAAATCTGAGAATTGTATTTAGAGTATTTAGAAGCAGTACATGTGTATTGACAAATATGAGGGGATATATTAATTTATATCTTCTTTGCTTTTACTTTGTACATCCAAACATGAATCAGCTACTGTCTTCTCATAGAAAAGCAACAAGATAACATGAATTTAAGTGATTTCATTTGTATCTATCAGAAATGATATATTTGAAAATATTTACAAGAAATCTATAATTTACTCATAAAATGGTAATGTGTTCATGTATAAAGCACGATGGGTCATTTAACAATTCAAATTTCTAAAATGATTTAGAGTTTTAGAATTGTAATATTTAGTTCAAATTTCTTAATTTTAAAAACGCATATTGATTCGCATTTTGAAATTTGATATTCTAGGTTAAAAATTTAAATTTTCAAATTTCCAAACACGTTTTAAAATTTAAAATTTTTAGATTTTTACTTTCAATTTTCAAAATTCATATTTCCAAAACCTGTTTTTGAGTTTTTAATCTATCCTTTCTTCAGAAAGTTAACCTTAACAATCTAAAATTCAGAACCATTTTTTGTCTTCTGATATTTTTAAAATTTACTTTAAACTTCTAAATTTCAGCTTTCAAAACTTTTTACATTTTCAGAAATTTAGAACTTTGATTGAAACACTCAAATTTTAAATAATCAAAACACGTTTTTTTCATCTTGAGTTTTTAGAATTTTACTTCAAATATTCAAAATATCAAATTTCCAAACCAGTCGACATCAATTCTAAAAGCCCCAGTTTAGTAACTTGATTGATTGACTGAAAACATTCTCTAGACATTGAGTAGCGCTAGTCGATTCGCCCCTTGGCTGAATTGCCACATTTCACGAACACTCCAAAGCACATTTTACATATATAACATCTAGAAGGAAAAAAATTAAGAAAATATACAAATAGGAAGTTTAAAAAAATACTTTCGTTGATGCATTAATTAGTAATCAAAGAATATAAATAGCACCCCGGGTGGTCTTTTGGACATTGCAGTAGAATTTATTCTAGTATATATTTGTGATATCCTGTATATATTTAGGATTTTTTTCGGTGGGGGGGGGGTTGGTTGGTTATATTTTAATAATATGTGTATAAGTGAATATATTTAAGTTTAATATTTGATAAACAAAATTCTAGTATACTCACTAAAAGAAAAATGAATCAATCTGTGTTTGTATTTTTCTTATTTCTTATTGGTTATCTTGACAGCGTTATTATTATATTAAAGGAAGCATAAAAAAGTTCTATTAAACATTTATTTGGGTTTTAACCAATTATATTTTAAAATTCAAATTGGCTCTAAGATACTTACGAGAGGGTTAGAGCTCTCGTACAGTTACGACAAAAATCTCGTAAGAATTTTTTTGTGAAAAGGAATAAAATCATAAGATTTTTCTAACGATGAAAATCAATCGTAAGATTATTTGTGAAAAGGGCTACTGCATTTTTTTTTAAAATACTGATCTCTAAATAAATGTTTATTAAATAAATAAGATGTAAAATGAACGGAACTGGAATATATAAGTATACATTCATTTTTATGCTTTGTATACTCTGGATAAAGGAATATGAATGCAGACTGAGGACAAGGATGCTTGCCTATATGTCGTATGTTCTTTAGCGCCTGACTGAATTGTATCTAAGTATGTTATGTACCTTAGAAAGATGCAGGATGATGGTGAAATGTTTGCCGATAGGAACATTGAGTATCTAAATAGGATGCAGACTGAGGGCCTTTAGATATCTCTTTCCGTGGCCTTCAATTCAACATTCATATTTCGACGACGTTTCATCAATTAACAATATTTTTTTCATTCCTATGTTGACTCGAAACATCCCTTCGAACTCGAAATAAAAGATACTACAGCGTTTGACACATCTGTTTCATATTTGGATATTTTCTAGATAAAGACGTTAATGGTAGCCTAACAACAAAACTTCATGATAAACATGATGACTTCAACTTTTCTATTGTCAACTTCCCTTATTTATGTAGCAATATATCATTATCACCCGCATATTGAGTTTATGTCTCCCAGTTGAGCATGCTCTACGTACGATAAATTTCTAAAACGAGGCAAGCTATTGACAAACTGGTTGATGAAACAAGGATATAAACAGTCTCATTTAAAGTCAACATTTCGCATATTCTATGGTCAATATAATGCCGTTGTCAGCAAGTACAATCTATCATTAAGTCAAATGCTGACTGACGTTATTCATACTAATTATTAGGCCATTATTTACACACTGAATTGTCTACGGATTTTTCCAAGATAATATCAAGGAGTACACGGCGGGTGTGACGGGTCGACAGAGGATGCTTATTCCGCCATTGTACCTGATTCCACCTCTGTTTTAGAGGTCCATGTTTGCTGTGCTCCAAATCTGTTTCAATGGACATTTGAGCTTGCTGTTCGTTTTCTCCATATTTCATGAATTTGAACTGTACCACCATTGAGATCTGATAAATCTGTTGTCAATAACGGCCAAATAGTTTATGTATTTAGAAATACTAGTTGTATAAACATTCCATAACCAATCTAGTATACTTCAAAAGATTGCTTAAAGTTTCCTATGGTTAAGAAAATCAGTGGTATAACTATTGTGCATGCCAAAAACTGCAATTGGCTTTAAATCTGTGCACAGAAGATAATATCAGCTGCATGAGCAGTGAGCACAAGAAATCTTGAACACAGAACACAAAAGGTGTTTACGATTAGAAGATGGGGTTTGTTTTAAATTTTTCATAGCTAACTGTCTATTACTAAATTATCACACCTAATTTCTTATGTTTGTTTCCTAAGAAATTAACAACGTCACTTTGTTTGCAGTTTGGTTAAGATTTTCATAATAAAGATAATCTGAAATAATCATGTGGTTTTACATGTAGTTTGTCTATTTATGAATTGTCAGTAAATAATTATCAATCTTATTAGAGTAATTGAGATACTATTTCTTTTGTTCTAAATATCACTTCGTTCTTTGACTCGCTATTCCTGTGTAACACTAATCGACGTCATATTTTTCTCATCTAAGTAATAAGCGTTCATTTATTCAGTTATATATCGTAATAGTTCTGTCGCAAGTCGTCAAATAATGCTTCAATGAATCATATTTAATCATTTTTAATCATATAGATAGAATACACTAAATACTCAGTTTAACAACTATTCGTATAGCATAACACTATAAAAAGATATATTGTTTTTCATCTTCGGAATTACCACCTCTGTCAGTTTTAGTCCTCATATTGCACATCATAAGGTAACGCCTTTCACTTAATTAAGGCGTATTAAGGTCTTGAGATGACAGTTCATGGTGCAAGAAATTGTCTCAGTTGTTTTAAAACTTACGGAAAGTTTCCAACTCAGTGTCAAGTTCAGGGCTCTGTAATATGTTATCAATATTTTTGTAATGTGTAATTTGATTATTATCATCAGTGGGGTATTTTTTTTTTTATTATTATTTTCTGTTTTAATTTTGGTGTACTTATATTCAAGTAAGAAAAAGGTGGCCTTCCTATTCAGTCGAATGTTTAAGAGAAAAAGTTGATTACATATTTTTTTTATTTGAACTTTAATAAAGACAAGTATTTCTAATTCGTAGTTTTATTTGGGATATTTCATTTCACTATATTTAATCTGAGAGAAAAATTTCACAGATAATTTTCTAACTCATCAATATCTTGATTAAATTTACTCGGTATACAGATATCCAATTTCTTAAGATCGTAGTCCTTGACAATCCGATTCTGTCTTCGAAGTTAATATTTCATCTAGGCAAGAGAATGTATTCATCAGAAAAAACACCAAGAAATAATGGTCCACCTTCCTTTAGGGGAGAATTGATTTCAAGTGCAGAGCTCTAGTTTTATGTGACTTTTTAAGCAATAGAATAAACACATTCGAGCATAAAAATTCAATCAATTCTTAGAATTCAAAAGGTCGAACCTGCACATGAAACGCTTTAAAAATACATCAACAAGTACAAATCTTATTATGATTCATTTTTCTAATGCATAAATGAACAATCTATGCCCAGTATTAAAATTTTGAAATTGTTCATAGTTCATGGATTCAATTTAAATACTTTCATCGCATTATTCTTCTATATGTTTATTTGTACAACTGTAAATACATGTAGATTCGTTTAAGTTAATAGAGGTTTCAGTGTATCCAAAGCAAAATTTATTTCTGTATATTATATATATATATATATATATAAATATTCCACGGCAGGGCTGTTTTGAAAAAAAAAAAATAGCAGGAATATGGTGTATATTTCATCACTTTATTTTCACAGAATTACACCAATGTAAAAAGTGTTTTAAACAAATACAGTAACGAATGCTAGATATGTACATAACGATTTTTGAAAATATTTTGCATTTCGTCTTCCGAATTTGGTAACATTGTCTATTACAACAAAAATATTGAAAAAACATGAAAATTGCCGGGTGCGGTTTTTCCAAAGATACATCAAAAAATGGTTGATACAATAAGTTCTAATTAAGAAGTTGTAAATGCTTGGAAAGAAAGCGCAATCGACAGAGGCAGACAAATAAAAAGAACAATTTTCGGAAACGAATGACAAATCGATGTTGAAGCCAGTAACGTAAATGTTAAGTCTTATACCATACTTAGGTATGAAGATTGTCTCAAATTCAAGACTAACGTGGAGCATATTCTAAAAGTCGAAATCTAATTACAGCGGAGGCTGTCGATTATGCTGACATACATGTTAGTTTGCCTTAAGCTGCTTAAACAGTTTATTATTAAAAATTAAATTTATATAATGTTATTAACACACTCTCTACAAAAAATGACAAGATTTATGCAATACTTCATGAAAACGTTCATTCTTGACAAAAATTTTCTGTTTTCACGTATCTACCGAGACTGCTATTACATACACATCTGATTAGTGGAATTAACACATGATGCACAGACGATGAATAGATTTAAAGTTCAGTCAGTGTGAGTATTTTGACCGATGTGTTGGCAAAAGCGCATAATGAAAACAATGGAAGTACATGAACCCCCCAAAACAAGACAGATGCTGACTGTTGAAATAGACGCTGATGACTCAAGATATTGGCTAGACATAGCTTTGAGATGCCTTTGAAGAATTCGCTGTAGTGATAGACAGGATGAATGAATAAGTTTAATATTACAGCATCTCTATAACTAATGTTTAACACTTGCGTTGAAAAAAAACTAAGCTTTTCTAATTAAGTTTTAGACAATGCCATCAATACGTCATCATATATTTAAAATAAAAATTACTTCCCAAAACGGCACACGTTAATCTTTAAAGGATTTAAGTAACGGAAGCTTGATGGTATTGATACCCAGCATTGTGTTAAGAATTTCAATTTCCTAACTTTTAATTCCTATATTTTATTCAAATACCCATGTGTATTCAAATAATTTTATCTAATTATTAGCATCTGTAGGATGTTCAGGTAGCTGATAAAGTTTTACTTTTTTATCCTTGGTCAGCCTGCCTTCATGTTTGAGACTAACTAAATGTTGACTCCAATAGGTAATAAAAGTGCTTTCTTTCAGATGCTCTCTCTCATTCTACACTATGTCATATACAAATGTATATTAGTCATAAACTTACAATTAGGACTTTAAATCACTTATTTTGAAGGGGTAAAAATTCAGAAAACATCGATCTTTCAACTGGTTGCAAAATTCCATAATTCTAATGAATTCTGTCGAAAATTATGTCAGACAATGGGTCAAATATAAAAGAGAAGACTTTGGCACTCTTCAGAATGGATTAAAACTGTAAGATTGATGTTGAAATCTTGTGTTAAACGGTTCATGGGTAATATGAAAACCATATATCCTTCTTTCTTCAATAATTCAGAGGTGAAAAAAGAATTAGATAAATTACACGATCAATATGCACTGGTCCCATCTGACAAAGCAGATAACAACATAGTCTTTGTTTGCAAGACTCATGATTAAAATTGCATTTTAGAGGAACTTTAATTTAATTCTGTCACTGGTAATCCAACTTACACTCATAGTTTCATTTCTAAGGAGAAAAATCATATTCCCAACATCAAAATTGAATTGAACACCATACTTTTACTGGATTTGTAAGCTTCATAAAAATCCATACAAACATACATATATACATAGCGGGTTCCAGTAAAGTTCTACCAAGCCTCTTTCTCTACTCCTCACGAAAATGTTAACAGCAGTGAAAGAGAAACTTTAGGAGGCCTTTACAATAACATATTCGGAAAGTTGTGTTAATCAGGTGAGGATATTTAAAAAGTCTAAGGAACTTTTACATGTAGAAAATAAGAAATCACAAAATTTTACCAAACGTAATTACACCAAAACATAGGACTTTTCAACACTTTTTACAACCATTTCGTAGACAATTCAGTGTGAAAATAATGGCCTAACAGTTTGTGTGAAAGAATTTGGTCAACATTCTACCCAACGATAGATTCATTTGTACAAATGATCATTGTACCGACCATAGATTTTGCAAAATGTTGCCTTTAAACGAGATTGTAGATATTCTTGTATCATTGACTTATTTGTCAATAGCCTGTTTCTTTTTAGAAATTGTTCGTACGTAGAATAAGCTCTTGCGTATCGAATCAACTGGTAAACATAAATTCCATATACAGGTGATAATGGTTTATTGCTATATAAATAGGAGAAGTTGATGATAGAAAAGTTGAAATCATCAAGTTTATCATAAGATTTAGTTGTCAGTTTGCTATCAATGTCTTTCTCTAGGAACACATCCAAATATGAAACAGATGTATTAGACTCTGTGGTGTCTTTTATTTCGAGTTCAAAGGGATATATCGCATAAACGTAAGAATGGAAATAAATGTTGTTCATTGATAAAACGTCATCGATATATCTAAATGTCGAACTGAATGGCACAGAAAGAAACTTCTTTTTTTTTCATGTAGATGTTTTTGAATAAATTCTGGTTCATATGAATATAAATTGAAATAGATCTTCAAATAAAGAGGCACAATAAGTAACAATGGGAATTCCAACAGATTGTTGGAAGACCTGGTCACTCAAAACCACATGAATATTGTCAATGAGAACCTCAGGCATCTTTTTAATATCAACATCGGAGTACTCTGTAGAATCAGAATGTTTTTAACAAAACAAGTCTGCATATGACCAATGTTTTGTTTGTTTGTTTGTATGTTGCTTAACTTCCCTCTCGAGAATTTTTCACTCATATGGAGACGCCACCACTTGCCAGTGGAGAGCTGTAAATTTTGTCCTATGCTCGGCACTTACGGCCATTGAGCAGTGAGGGATCTTTTTCGTGCCAACACCTACTGTGTAACGGGACCTCGGTTTATACAGTCTCATCCGAAGGACCGGTCTCCACGTCCCACAGTGGGACATATGACCAATGACAAGGTATACAAATTCACGAGTTCCATTTTTATTGAAGTTGTTCAAATATTATAATTATTATTACTTGCATTATTATTATTTAGTAAAATTGTAGTAAATATTTACACCATCAATCAGACCTCGGTTTACATTTCAATTGCCTGATCTATTATCGTTATCCACCAGTCTAGTACATATGGTATTTGTTAACCTTCCTGAGAAACCTACATAGTATAATCGCTATTCCTTTAAACAGATTATTTTTCATACAACCATCAAGCTTTCTTGTTTTGCAAATGTTTCTTTAGACACTTGTAATATATATCTCTATACTGTTTGACTTCTTCATAAAAGGCCCCCCTTCTGACTTCCTTTATTCGGGAAGTGACGTAAGCAAATCCCGTCTTCCTTCGCGTGTCTGCATATGCTATTTGTCCTCCATACCCAGGATGTCCGATCCCAATCTGTAAGTTAAGAAAAAGAAAAGAAAAGAAAAGATGATGATTATATTTTTCTGTCATCAGAATTGAAAAAAACATCAATTTATGTAAATTAACAATTGGTAATATTTTGAAGTATCATCACTTATTTCTAGATTAATCTTGATTTTATAATAAGTGCAAAACAACTTTTAAGATATGCTCATACATTTGTTAAAATTTATCGAGTGGTAAGAGAAACACGTTACCAGTTGATTATCCTCAATCAAAGCGATAACTCCACGGCCAAAATTGGAAATTGTCATTCCATCCAAACTGACTCCAGAAGTTAGAGGTTCCTCTAGAACCTGAATTATCTTCTCTGATAGAAGAGTTCCCTCGTCGTTTTTTCCGCCATTTGCAATGATTCCATACAGCTTTGCAAGGTTTCTAGCGTTACTATATCCATTTAAAGAAGACTGTGGAATTTTAGTATACTCTGGGATATTGAATGCTGTATCCTAAATTTAGAAAATCATAACAAGAGTCTAGAAGTGCTCTGTAAATCTTTGGTTTTGATTCTTTCTGAAGATATTGATAGGGACTTATCTACATCCATACTAGTCGGAATAAATATTATGAAACATGTCCAAATTTTTGTTAACTAAGATGTTCCAAGGAATATTAGGTAGTGATAGCATAATATACAACAAATTTAATGATTTTTAATGATTAAAAGGCAAGGTCTGGATGTAAGTAACGTAACTCTGCTGTTTTGTGAAAAGTCTCGAGACAATCAAAACACATATCATACTGATAGTGATATGAACCCTATATCTCATGGTTTGAAAAACATACCGCCGTACATGTATATCGGTTACAAATTCCTTGAACAGTATGATTTAGTTAAATTTTAGGTGGCAAGATCAGAAACCTGCGTAGTTTGTTATAACCGAGGTATGTATATATATATATATATATATATATATATATATATATATATATATATATATATATATATATATATATATATATATATATATAATGAAAGCCAGGAAGATATACCACTGGAATTGCATCAGTTCCGGAGATAAATGATTTGCCCATAATGGATTCCGGGTCCATCAATTTGTACCTGGTCAGGAGTGGCTCAAAGTCAAGAGAAGTAAGAGTCTTCCACAACACAGAAGTGAATGGAGTTGGTTCATACCTCGCTGTCCTATAGTACAGATGATATGGAAGCCCATTGTAAAATTCAATGCCTGAAAAGAATTTTCAAATCATTTCCCTTTATTTCAAATTGTGCTCTCTTTAGAAGAGGCTATGTACATAATTGATACGATACTTAGCAAAGTCTTCAACTTATTAATTTGACTTTGCTTATCACACTTGATATTTTGGCACAGTAAAAAGTGACTTTTTTCTAGACCTTAAAAAGGGCATTGTAATCCGAGAATGGAAAGGACAGTCACAATGTCACAACAAATTTTCATAAGGGCACTCTTAAACATCTTTTTTTACTTAAGCATTTATTTTATTATTATACTGATATCTTTTACTTGCATATAATGAAAAAGTAATGTAAAAAGGTTAATTCTTAACACATAAGTTAGACCTATGCTTCCTGTTCATGTCTTAAAAAATGGGGTCGGTAGGTAGGGAATTTTATCATTTTTTGTTTTGCCTGCTTGCATTGTGGGGTTTTGGTTTTTTGTGTGGTTTTTTAGCATATATCAATCAAATACACAAAAAATAAACATATTTTTACAGGGAAGGGGGGGGGGGCTCTCCTTACAAACTGTACATTTTTAATATAACAAAATTATGTATTTGGCAAAAACACGTTGATTAAATGAAAATTTAGTGTTACTTTCAGTTTTACAAACTGTTTAGAACATTATGGTTAAGAAACATTGGCCATGTGTGTAATTACATTTATCAATTTATATAATGACCTGTCATTGATTGATATACTTCTTATTCACGTTTCCTAATCTACCATTTTTTCCACTTTTGGGTAAAATAAAAGATTCCGATTTCAATTAATAAATGTTTCGGTATCATAATTTATTTCACCATTTTAATCTCTCTTTGACAAGGTCCTTCTCCATGCACAACCATTGCATGTTTATCTGCTATCCCCTTTTACTGTTAAGTTACCTTATCTGCTACGAGAAAGATTTCCTGTGGTCATGTATACTTCTAAATTCACAACTTGACAAGCATTGTAAATTTGTATGTATTAAATAAACAAAGGAGCTAGTCTTTGGTATACACAAATTTTGTTTGATGTGAAATCGTACTTTTTTTTAATTTTTGAAAGACAAAAAGAGAAAGGACATGGCGCTGCACAAAAAAGGACATGATGCAACATAAAAAGGTCAAGGCGCTAATACACTCTAGAAAAAAGACTACAGTGGAAGTACTGAATTAATTTCCCTTAAAAATAAAATCTTCATAGTCAGGAGATAGAAAAAGCATATAAAGGTAGCTACCATCTAATCTCCTTAAAAGAAGAAAAATAAAGTTTTAATCATCATTCTATTGTTTTGGACGTAATAAAATTAAATTGAATTAGACGAAACTTTCTGAAAGAGGAAGATTTACCATTATCGTTTTTGTAATCACATAGATTGCATATATACTCTACTATACTAAAACAAAATATATATCTTAACGCATTTTTCATAAAGAGGTCATATTAGTGGATATATTTTTACCAAATTTATCTCCTATTTCTTCCTTAAAAATTTGATCCACCCTCCTGTGTTTTGGATCCGCCTTTGCTAACAGGGAATCAACAAAAAGACCGTATGTGATAGAATGGTAGTAATAAGCAGTTCCTGAAAAGATATTTATTTATTCATTTATTAAAATGGATTATAATTTTCAGTGTAATTCTCCTCCACTTAAATCATGGATGGTCATTGATTACCATTGATCTTTCTTTTTCATTTTGTATGAGCATTAAGTACAATTAATATGAGACTTCTTTCCGGCTTGAGACATCATTTACCACTTCTGAATAGCATAAATATGTACCAGGCTTCCAGTAAGGGGTCTGCTGCTCTAGAAACCTATAGACTTTCTCTGGTTGCTCCTCTATCCACTGTATTGGAAATGTTCCATTTGTTATAGATAGACCTCCCTGCATAAATATATATCAAAATTAAAGCAACTTTATTCTGTATTTTTAAAATCTCGGAATGCTGCGATGTCAGTTTAAAATCAAATCATTAGCTTAAAATTCTTTGAAACCTACCTGATGGCTAAGGAGCATTTCTACGGTTATTTCATGTTTTCCATTTTCCCCAAATTCCGGCCAATAGTACGCCACAGGCTTTTTGTAATCTAACCATCCTCTGAAAAAAAATCATGTTATTTAACTAGTACAAGTACATATTTAAGGTGAGAGAGATCTCGTTATAAGGGGCTGGGCTATACTATCTTTAAGTAGATTAGCATATAATTTGTAAATGTAACTCCACTCACTTATGAATACCGGTCACAGTAAACTGAAAACATAACAAATTCTGCACGACATTCTCACCAGAGATACAGCAGAGGAATCTCACGCCCACCCCACACCCACCCCTCCGTTTACCTGCAGTTTTATCACCCTTGCTTACAAGTTGTGCATATTGGGGTTATATATCAATATCATTGCCATTGTTTTAAATAGCAAAATGAGAAGATATTATATTTAGGAAAAAAATGAATTGATAAGTATTTTGACAACAGAACTGCAAGAAACACACAGTTCCTTTTTAATCTGGATTCGCTAACTGATCGATGGAAGCCACTGGATGAAACTCTGCCATTTAAAGAAAGGTGACTGAAGGGCAGAGCTCTGCTATTCAGTGACCTTTCCAGCCCTTTCAGAGACCATTTAGTCGACTGAAAGGTGAAGTTTTATCCTGGAAGCTTTCTATGACTTACTTGTCCACAAAAACTGCTATCAACAAAGCAGTTACTCCCTTAGTGGCGGAAAAAAGAATGGAGAGTCTGTCCTCTGTCCAGGGTCTCTTTGTGGTCACATCAGCATACCCACCCCATACGTCCACTAATGACTTCCCCTCGTGGAAAATCGAAAGAGAGGCTCCAATCTCAATTCCACTTTCAAAGTTCTCTCTTAAAAACATTAAGTTACAAGATATAGATTTTTTTTTCAAAGAACCGTTGTTATTTGATGAAACTTGATAATGTATGACACCGGGGAATTTTTCTTTGACAGAAACAATCTTTACTTGAAATAATTTTAAAATTGTTTTTTTTTTCATATACATGCATGCCTGTATATTTACATCCACTGAATATGTTCTCCTTTATTTCTTATGAAAACTGATCCCCGCATTAAAAAACATTTTTTTGCATTATACATAACTATGGAATTTGGAGCAGTATGGTTTGCGGTGTCTTAAAACCAAGAGAAATAGAATTTCAAAAATTAGATAAAATGTGATTGAAGAGTATTATGACAATTTTTTTTAATTAATCAAATGTATAATTGATTTCTACGATGAAATATAGAGAATGCGAGCAGTAATCAAGCTCAAAGGTCAATTAAAAATACAAATCGGGAGCAGAGCAAACACGGGCCTCTAAAAAACATCAGAGATGGGATCAGGTGCCATCGAGGAGTAAACATCCCCTGCCGACCGGTCACATCCACCATATGTTTGTTGTCATGATCGTGCAAACGGAAAAATCCACAGACAATTCAGTGTTTAAATAATGGCCCAACAATCATTAATATGAAAAACGTCAGTCAGCATTCGACTTAATGTTAGATTTTATTAGCTGACAAGGTCATTGTATCAACCATAGAACTTGCGAAATGATGAATGTTGATATCCTTATTTCATCAACTTTTTTGCCAATAGCTTGCCTCATTTAAGAAATTGTTCGTACTAGGAGATATAACGCCATATGCAGGTGATAAGGGTATATTGCTACATAAGTAAGAGAAGTTGACGATAGGAAAGTTGAAGTCATCACGTGTATCATAAAGTTTTGTTGTTAGGTTACCATTAACGTTTTTTCTAGTAAAATATCCAGATATGAAACAGATGTGTCAGACTCTGTGGTGTCTTTTATTTCAAGCTCACTGGGATATATCGAGTCGACATATGAATGGAGGTAACTATTGTTAATTGATAATACGTCGTCGATATATCTAAATGTTGAGTTGAAGGCCACAGCAAGTGTCTTCTTCTTCTCATGTAGAAGTTTTTGAATAAACTCTGTTTCATATGAATACAAAAATAGGTTTGCTAATAACGGAGCGCAATTGGTACCCATGGGAATTCCGACAGATTGATGGAAAACCTGATCTCCAAAAACCTGAGCCTTAAAAACAAAGATATGTTGTCACCTGCTTTAGCAGCTGGGATCTGTTCATACTGATCGTGTAATCTAATTCTTTTTATACTTCTGAATTACTGAAGACAGAAAGATTATATTTTTTTCCAATTTCCCCTCAACCAATTAATGCGAGATTTCAACATCCATCTGATACATTTTTCCCTATTCTGACAAAGTGTCAAGCTTTTCATGTATAGCCCATAACCTGACGTAATCTTCTACAGAATTCATAATATTTATGAAAGTATGAGGCCAATTGTAAGATCGAGGTTCTCTAAATTTTGGCCTTTTTAAAATAAGTGATTTAAGGTCCTCATTATTAACTATATTTACGTCACTAGTAATGATATGTTCAGCAGGACTATTGTTGTAGGGTGAAGAAGAACATGAACACGTAGGAGGATTATGTTTCAGATGTTGATATCTAGGCACTGTAGACTTTTATAACAATAATATTACAATAAGCTACAAAACTCGGCGAATTCAAAACAAGCAAGTTTTGCATTAACACACATAAATTTATTATGTCATGATATTTTCAAATTAGCAATATTTTCCACGTACCTGAAATTATTCACAACTTCTTTAAAATCTGGATGAAAACGTCCATCGAAAGGTATTTGTAAATTCTCTGTACGTTTATATTCTTTATAGATATATAACAAACCGGACAATACCAGAACGAAAAGTGATAATTTTAAAACCCCCATGCCGAGTAAAGATAGTCGATAATCTAAAAAGAGGTCAGGGTACATTTTACTGTATGTGATATCAGCTGAAAAAATGTATGTGTGGGGGCAAACAGGAAAGGGGGGGGGGTTATGTTCTGAAAAGAGTGAGAGCAAACACCCAAACATGTATGTGTGTGTGAAACTTGTCCAATAGGGACCACTATTTATTTACACACCTATCAACCGGGAACAACCTTCCAACCGGGCACGTCCCCGTTCTCTTGAATTTAAAATAACGTTTAATTCGAGACCAGTGATTCCTAATTAACCCCCCCCCCCCCAAAAAAAAACGATTCTTTTTTCAACATGTTGATGAAATGTCCCCGTTTCGTTGGGATTAAAACATGTGTGTAAGTGTAAACGTTAAGTATTTGGGGGTTACAATCGCGTCCTCGTTTGTATGGTGAAAAACATGTCACGTGACTGGCATTAAATAAACATTCTCATTCTTGTCTATGCTTCATGTATTTTTGTAAAGATTGTTTGGGTATATTATTATTATTTATCTATGTATGATAATACATGTATACTCATGTATGAACTAGCATCCGTCTGATACACGTTTATGTAATTGAAACATCCTAGTTAAGGATACATGATTAATTAACCATTTATGCTTTAAAGACTTAAGTTTTTTTATGTCTAAGTAATTTTTTTTTAGATTAAGCCCATCTTAAACAAGTTTATATTATGATTGGTTCAGTTTTGTTTGAATGAGATTGTTGCATCTCGGGATGCATATTAATTATAGGCTGAGTACAGGCAAGTGAAAAATACCACATCATTATAAAAATATCAGAATGTCACATATACGAATACAGGTACTTTTAAATGTTAATGAGGAATAGTCAACGTGTGCAGTTTTGTTTGTTTGTTTGTTTGTTTATTGTTTAACGTCCCTCTCGAGAATTAATTATGACTATTATATTTCCTTGTACATGTATGCATCATCAACATGTTGGTAATGAAAATTGCTTCCTGGAATTCATACACAGTATACAGTTATTATGATATACGACACTTGTCCACCAATCAAAATTCCTTGAGATATAATTTAAAACTGAAATAGCAATTACTTTACTTTACTTGTATTTTTTAAAACTTCAATCGATGTTTTTGTCAATAGTGTGTTCTTTTTTCAATATTCTTAACTTTCATTTTAAATTAATATGTTTGCGCGGAAAAAATCAAGAACGAAGAACTACTGTTTCCTATAAAGAAGGTTTGTCCGAGTCGAATAATTACACTGGCATGTTCAAGAATGCATTTGACCAACAGTTGCCGTCAACATATACTTAAATATCTTCTCTTCCCTAACAGTACCCTATTTATCTCTTGACAGGGCTTCTGCATCATGTTTTCCTATTCATGAGTTGTTACTCTTGGTTTATGAAAAACAAAAATAAAAGAATAATATAAAGCTGAAAATGTTTGCGTGTCATCTCCTTTTGATTTAAAATAATATAAATGTAAACCAGGTACAGGTATCTGATTATCAGATACGAAAGTCGTCACATGAATACAGGTAAAAGTATGAAGAAAAATTATTGTATCGAAAAAACACTTATCATAAAAATCAAATAACGAAACTCCGTATATCAAATTTTTCTACGAGAATAAAACGTTTAACTACATGTACCACTAATGATAGCTATACACAAGTCATAATCTGCAAAAAGGCTATTAGAGTAAGGTTTTATACCTGATAATTAATAATAGATCACGAATTGCTTGCTTGATCAACAAATCACCAGACGATCGTAAATTTCATGTACTGATAAGTGTAATGAATAAGCAAGCATCGCTTCGTGATCGGGAGGCCCAGGTTTGATTCTCGATCGCGTAGCCTCGTCAAATGAAAGACGTATGGTCATGGGTCTTTAGGATAAGTCCTTAAAATCCAAGGTCCAATGTCACAGTGGGCATACTAAATAACCCTTACTGCTAAATGGCTTTGAGTGACGAGTATAGGTGCAAGTTTGAAACCCTTTACCGGTATTAAGTGACTTCTCATGAGAGTGAAATATTCTAGCAAGGGACGAAAACAGCAAACAATCAATAAATAAATTAAGCTACCGTAAGTTCCTGTAACTTCACACGCATTTTACATGTAACATGAACTACTAGTAGAAGCGATCTGTTTTTTAAATAATTATTTCTACACTGTACCAATTAAACCCCTTTACAGTGAAACAGATGCGGTTATGAATTGAATACTTTAAGAATACAAAATGAATCATAAAAAATTACTTTATCTTTGATTGTTTCGTTTATAAATCTACGCTTAAAAATCTAATATTTCCAATGTTTTATTGGCGTTGAAAAAAAGACGGATCAATAAAAATGTTGATTCTCAAGCCCCCCCCCCCCCCGGCACATGGTTTTAGATGACTAAAACGATTAAGAATGATTGATTGATTGATTGATTGCTTTAGGTCCCATTCGAGAATTTTTCACTCAGGTAGAGAAGTCACCATATACCGGTGAAGGGCTTCAAATTTAGACCTTTACTCGGCACTTATTTTGCTCCTTTATTTGCCGACCTGTTTTTGTATTCCTATTAAGCAGAATTATTATTCAAAAACTTCTACATGAGAGAAGAAAATACTTGCTGTGGCCTTCAAAGCGACATTCAGTTGTATACGACGTATATAAAACGACGTTTTAAAAATTGACAATAGTTATTTCCATTCATATGTCGACACGATATCCAAGTGAACTTGAAAAAAAAAAAGACACCAAAGAGTCTGCCACATTTGTTTCAGATTTGGATGTTTTACTGACTATAATCGATAAGGGCCAAGTAACAACTAAATTGTATGCTTCAGCTTTTTCATCGTCAACTTTCCTTATTTATGTGGTTATATTCCACTATCACCTGCATATGGTGTTTACGTCTCCCATCTTATTTGATACTCAAGAGCATGAATCAATTTTTAAACCGAGGCAGGCTGCTGACAGATAAGTTGATGTTTCAGGGATTTTAACAACCTCGTTTAAAGTCAGCATTTCGTAAATTCTATGGTTTTTATAATGACCTTGTCAGCAAATGTAACCTATCATTGGGTTATATTTTGGCTGACGTGTTTCATACATATTTTAGGCCTTTGTTTTTATACTAAATTTGACTAAGGAATTTTCTATCAATACATAGTACTCACTGCGGGTGTGCCGGTCGATAGGGTATTTTTATTTTTTCTAGACACCTGATCCCACCGCAGGAGTTTCAAGGGGTCCGTATTTTATGCCCTGTTTACAGATTTGTATTGTTTATAGATTTTTAAAGATCTTTGGACGTTGTAATTGTGCTATTTTTGAAAGTGACTTCATTTGGCAAAGCAGCTACTAATATCAAAAATAATTTGTCTTTGATCAGAACAATGAACAGAATTCTTATCACTGCAGCAAAAAGCTTGAAATAGGATATGATGTAATTTCGGTGACGAAACAAGCAAATGTGTGTTCTTTTCAAGAACACCTAAATGGGAAAACTGTTATAATATTCCTATTGTTTAGCTATTTGGGTGTCAGTTGTGTAATTCATATACGAATTAAACTAAATTAAAAACCCTCAAAGGCACTCAAGATCATTACGGAGAATACATGATCCCTTGTTCAGCAAACATATTAATCACTATAATTTAACCTTTGTCTTCCTGACCCCTTGACTGTTTATAAAAAAAAATATACCATTCTTCCAAATGTTTCACGCCCCAAGGTTCAAGGGAATTCTATTCCGGGATAATTTTTCATTTTATTTATCCATCAACGTTGGGTTGTAGGTCTCATAACCATACATCAGAAAGTGCACACCCTAACGACTTCAGGATGGTTTACGTTACTACCCTAAACAAATAGTGCACGAAAGATACACGCTCGCTGCACGTTTTGCAGGAAATTTTAACGCTGCACAATTCTAATAAAAAGCTAAAATGTTTGAACGATGCGTTACATAGAATGCACGAAACGGTTTGCACGAAAGGTTGCTCCCTTTACATGATAGGTTGCACTTTGTAAAAGATTCTAACACGCTCTGGCTTCGTTCTTAGCATGAATTCTGCTCCAAAGTTGTAGAAGGTCATTAAAAATGGCAATAAAGCAATTTTTCCACAAAAAGACAATTTAGAAATAGCATAAAAGCAAGTTTTACAGTGTACACACGACGACAATTTAGAAATAGCAACAAAACAAATCACAATTTAGAAATATAAAGACAAGTCATGGAGTTGATACCTGGTACCGCCTAAAAGATGATAGAGCTATGGTAAATGAATATATTACTTATATTACTGTTCTTTTCGGACATACTCAGTCTATATATTGTTTCTTTGATTCTCTCTCATTTTAAAATATCCATTTATATCTTGTGTCTACAAATCTTGTATAATTTTATCGATAGGTTAAACCAGATGTCTTACAAATACTTGATATTAACCGTAAAATGTTTGTCTGATTGCATTCTTGATTGAAGGCTATCATGTTCATAATTTCAGATAATCATTTAGAGGTTTATCTATATGTGGATTACATTTCATTTCAACTTAACATTAAATTGCAGAACAATTCAAACATGTTTTAAGAGCCAATTTGAAACTAGGTCTGATAGGAAAGATAGAGATATGACATTTTAAAAAAAAAAAACAAATTGATCATCAGCTTTAGATGAATAATTTTAAAATCTGGGCCTTTGGATAATATCATTCATTCTCGTAAACAGCATTATTTTGTAGTTCATTTTCAGTGTGTACGTACCGCTCTTTTTAAGCGTAAAGCATCGAACACAACCCTTTCTCCCACTGCTTCTCTGTGTAAACCAATTCATACAAACAAAGAATAGAAGAAGTCTTTGTGTATCATCTGCATGATTTTATTGCTTGGCATATGGTCTTTTATAGTCGTAGCAATATAATCCCAAATAACAACAGACAATAACGCGTCCAATAACAAAGTGGCATTTAACAAGTGAAAAAATATCATTATACAATCAATATGAATTTACGACATTTGCAGGAAATTGAGATAATTAAAACTGTTGAGATATGGACGGGTTCGACAGCAGTATTGAAATACAATTGTCACCAATCTTTTCTTTCAAGAATAGAAATTATATTTTGAATTTCTGGTCTTTCTTTGTTGCAAAAAATGGCTGGAAAATATTTGGTGTTGAGAAAATCGACCTACAGAGAAGACAAGGATCCATAATTTGATGTCTTAAGAGAAATCAGGGAAAATCCATTATAGAGTAACACAAGATTCCTTAATGGTTCCCTTGATTTGAAATCAGATGCAAACTGATTTTCAGGAAAGCAATGTTCTTGCTTGCTTGGAACACTTTATTTCGAACAATTATATTATTTGTTAATATGGAATGCTTTCATTTTTCTAATCTACACTGAATTGGAACATTGCACGATATATTAAAAAGGTGATACGATGATAGGTCAAATCTAAGGAAATATTGTAGTAAACAAGGAACCACAAGATAAATATCAGAAGCAACTTCAACGCAGAAAGGGACAAGTCAACGAAAGTCTTTTTGCTTGCGTGCATCCTCAAATTTAATGCATACTCAAATTTAATGACCGCCGAAATATGGTTAAATATTGCCGAATCGGAGTTAAGAAATAATCAATCAATCAATCAATCAAATTTTATGATCTGCAATTTGCAAAAACAATTGGGAAATGATGCACATTTTTCAGAAAAACTGAATATCGTTTTGGCATCTAAAGGGTTTAATCACTTTAATGTTAAGTTTTGTGCATGTAATTCGTGTCGAAATTATACCTTTAGTGGCCAAATGATTTGAGATATTTAAAATACATGGTATATTCCACATAATTCTATTACCAAAGGAACTTTGATAAGTTCTCAGAATACCTGTCTAATTTCACATTTGTTTGCATGAAATGTGCCAGTCATATATTTTTTCCCGATATATGTTTGTTTGAAAGAACCAAGAAAGGTTTTTACCTTGGCAGCAAAATCCAAACACCACATATACAAACAAAGCATTCCTCGTTATTCGTTGGTAGAATATTGTTCAAGATGTGAACAAGTTGAATGTTTTATGACTTGTTTATTCTTATCTAATTTGTGAACCGTTGGTATGGGGTATATAACTTAGTAATACCAAAGGGGGTCTCGATCGTTTATTTGAGTTAAATTACATATTTTTATAAAAAGATAATCGGCAGATAGCGTAATTTTTTTTTATCAAAGCCTGCTGTGAAACTGGTTTTCGGGTTAGTTGCGAATAAACATGCATCTCAACGGAAGAATTTGACGGCTCTTAAAACAATGTCTCTGTCTGCAAGAATTTAATGAAAAGTTACTAAGAAACGAGAAAAATATCAGCATGTTGTTGATATCAACCCTTAAATAACACAAGTGCATTTTATAAATCAAAGTACCTGAGTTATTTTCATATTATAAAAGCTTTTCTGAATAATAATTCTTTCCATTGTTTTAGGGTTATCAAATTATGCTGCTGTTTGCATGTTACTAGCTCTTTATATTTGCAATTATGATAATTTCTTCATAAGAAAAATTCAAGTAAACAGAATTAATGAAAAAGTTTTGACATGTTTAGTTTTTTTTATTCAATTATTTGCAAGAGCATTTCTGATCAAACCTTAGCTTCAGTTAATTGTATAGTTATGAAAATTGACCCTCATCACTAATGCATTACGATAGAGCTTATTGACAGGCTACTTTTTCATTTCAATGTTGCCCACCCCTAACAGTTTTCATTGCTGACACGGATAGTTCTAAAATAATTCTTTTATTTGTCACTTTCATCAAAAAACGAGGAAATATTAAGCAAGCAAATTGTACCGAACAGCAGAAGAATATTAACAATTATTTTACAAATCAAATCGATAAAAAATTAGATGCCATTAAAAAATTACGTCTGATGTTCTACATTGTTCTATATTGATCAAGTGTAATTACCATGTGTACCTCCCGATTTGAAACAACGGCTCCAAGGCTTAAAAGATCCCCATTCTATTTGTGTACATGTGTTAACTGTCAAGTTGTACTGATCAATATCAGGTAGGCTAATGGCTTAAAAATTCATAGCCGTCATAACATAAGGAAAACACGTCAAGTTCTAGCTAGCTTCTTTTCAACTGGAGGAAGAGTAAAGAAAAAAAAATGAAGAGTATATGAATTATGTATCAAAACATTGATTTCTAACTTGACAATGGTGGCTTCGATAGATAGAAGACAGGGAGGGGTGAATGTGTATAACCATATCAATTATTCATAAATGCTTGCTGGGTGTATCTTAAAGTTGCTGGCAGGGAATATCTATGAAAGAACAATTCTAATGGGACACGCTATTGTTCTTCGTGGAGCAATACCACCAGCATAGACAAGGAACTTCTGGACAAGGTAAAAATGATGTTTGGCAGCTAGGCATGCTGCACTGAATACTACAGGAAAACATATATGATAAACATATATACATTTAACCCTCATCTTAGCCGTGTTGCTCATGTCTAGATCTGCATCTGGTGATTGAAAGGTTTCTGATGATCGTTCATAACAGGGATGAAATTTTCTTAATACAGGTATGTCCACGTAGTGCAATACTGTATTTCTTTGTGATTTTAAAAATCATTTTAAGAATTTAAAAAATGGTTGTGAAGTTAAGTCGGCGACACTACATCAGTTAAAATATATATAAATCTATCTACCAGCGTAATGAACTTTTTTATAGAGTGAAGAAAGACATTAAAAACGGAACTGCTACAGTAACAACACAGGTTATTAGCTATCAAACATAAGCATATTGTAAAAGGTTGCAATCAATTAAAGGAGCATGGTTTTTTTTTTTTTTGCAATATATTTCAGTACACAAAATGTATAATCCATTAATGATTCAATGTGTTCTTCATTAAAGAATCATACAAGCAATAAATAAGGATGAGTATTTAAAAGCATTTGATCAATAATCAATACCGCCGTTATCTCAGTTATGGATATTTTTTATTAAACTAATCAACAGCTGGGTGGCTATAACATTGATCTATCGATTGCTAGGCTTTGAGACTTTTCTGTGATCATTTTAAGGGTAAATACTCAAAAACATTATTGTAAACATATGTCAACCTATTCTTTAGCAATAGGTAATGTAACACTTTTAATCGAAATTGTCATAATTAATTTTATGAAGTATTTTTGAATTATTTAACCCGATAATATGCATTTATTATTTAAATCATCTTGAAGTTCACATTTCTTGTTGTAGTATCAGTTTTCGATTGCCGCACTGCTTTGCCATGTTGTTATAGCGTAATTTTGACTATATCACTGTTTATAACATGAAAGAAGCTTTCTCTTCAATGTGTTATATTGTCTGAAAAAATTTCAAACACATGTATCGTTTGATGTGAAACTTTGGATAAGTTTATGGTTTTAGAATTATACCAGACGATCAGACCGCTGTGTCCTTTAATGACTCCTCGGTCGTAGTGCATAGTTTGTAGTTATAATTGATAATTTACCAAGAAAACCGTTAGGAGAAGGTGAACGGTAGGACATGTAATATATGTTTTCTATCAAGCTTATTACAGTTTATCACCGAGAGATTTATTCCTGCGTAGTTACAGTGAGTGGAAAATATTAGCATTAATTTCCCCAGAGAATTGTTACATAAATAATTTAGAATGGAAAATTGAAATTATACTTGATAATAGATCCAGATGATCTGTTAATCCTCGTGAGATGTATTTTAGAGAAATTTAACTTGTATGTTTATCAGGTTTTAAAACTATGCGCACAGATTAAATGTGCATTAGTATCATGATGACTTTTCTCTTTGCAATACATGATATAGAAACATGGTAATTTCTAGACTCGGGGGTATCTAACGGTGTTATTTCTCTATCTACAGTGTTATTTTACTATATACGGTGTTATCTTTCTACATGAGTTGTCTGTGTAAGGCCATTCCTTCTTTGGTGATGCCTCTGAAGATTTTTTTTTCACACGATTGAGAACAATTTTTAAATGATTTCTTTAGGTCCCTTTGTTTTATTGGAAAAAAAATTATAACAAACACAGATTTAAAAAATTGTAAACATGTTATTGATCAATAAAAAATGTGTTTTGTGAGATAACACGAAAAGAGATGTCATGAGAATAAGTTCAAATAATTTAATTTCTGGTTGTTACGGTAGAAAATTAAGTTGATATTGTATAACCTGCGTTGCCTACCTCACAAGGACTTGCATTGCGTAAAAAGAAAGTATCGATCCGCTTGTCATTACTTTTAATTTTGGAGTCATTTTTCATTTATTTTTTTTTTACACTTGATGAAAGAGAATTAAATTTTATGTGTCATGAATTTAAAAGCTACCAAATTTTAACTGTTATATATCCTTGGTTAGAGCAGTTTATAAATACCTCTTCGTGGTTCATACAACCCATGCAATGCAGTTTAATTTGCGTAGCTATTAAATTTATTCCTTAAATATTCTACAATTATCGACTTCTGAAATGGTTAATACGATTTCATATTGACCGAGAAAATACAATATCGATAATAAGCAAACGCAGGTCTGAGTATTATATTAGATCATTATGAGATACTTTTATAGCTAAAGATTATACGACAGTGAAATAAGAATAATTCAAATTCAAAGGTTATATAAGAGTTACAACCAAAATTATAGATTAAAAATGATTTTCAAGATAATGTTATAATAGTTATTGTGCCGAAACAATTGCTTATGGGTGAATTAAAAAAAAAATGACCAAACACATATTTATCAACCCACAATAAAAATACAGGCAATGAAAATAGATTTCTATGTCTCAGCATATGTCTTTAGATAGTGTCTAAATACCTGCCAAATATCTCGTTGATATCCCAATTAACAAAAAAGTTATGCCCAAAAATGATGCTAAAATTGTCAGGGGTGCAACATCTTTTTGTGACATTTTGAAATTTCAATATTCTTTGGAGATCTGTGAAATAAATAATAATGCTTTATGTTGAAAATAAAGACTTTCCTGATAATATTCAAAGTATATTGAGCTTTAAATGTGTGCTGTAATAACTTTTGTTTAATCAAGTTGTGGTCATGGCTGATGTTTAAAAAATGTTATACCATGTCAGGAGTGCAATAGAAAAAATGTAGTGTTGCGAAAAAAAAATCAATTGTAAAATTCTGAAAGAAAATTAAGACAAAAAAGAATTTTCGGAGTGTAAAACAATAACTGATATACATTTTAAAACTTAAAAATGTTATATAAATCACAAGCAGCATTAATTAGAGTCAAGTATATGTGCATACCCAATAATGTCAGGAGTGCAACATTTGATGTTTTGCTCCCAAGCATGAAAAAACTATAATCATTATATGATTTTCTGATTTTCATTTTGGAAACGAAAGACACAAAGAACATTTTTATCAAATAGATTTAACAATTACCGGATCCGTCTGTGCTTCAGATCTATATTTCTTAGGTCAGGAGTGCAACACATTTTTTTTTTTTTTGAAAGATTCAAGTTGTGTGACGAAAACACTTATATTCATGCTTAGACGTATTCATTAATTAATAATGATCTTTTTGTATAATTCAATACTAAATTATTGACAGTTTTGTTATTAAAATCCTTCCTTTCTCAATTTTGTCAGTTCAGATTTGTTTTCATCTTTTTTGTGATTTTTTTAATGAATGTTAAAAATAAACACACTAAATATTGTCATGAAATTCAAGTAATTCCTCCTCAACTTCTCTGAAACAACAGAACAAGTCCTTATGCAATTTTCACTTCACAATTCTACTTTAAAGGTCCCAATGCTTTTGGTCAGGAGTGCAACAAATATGTTAGAATTATAAATCATCCAATAAGAATAAAAATAAAGGAAAAATGATGAGTAGAATTTTTCTGGTGGGTTACTGTGTTTGTCCTCTAAAGGAAAATATGCTATAAAATATATTTTATCTTCTAAATATACATTTAAGCTAGTTTTTTGGCATAAATAGGGAATAATTCCAGATAAAATGCGAATTTCAAATACTTTCAACTGAATTGGACTATAAACATTGCACAGTTTCATTACCACTTGATGTTGCCAACACTTTATGAATTTTTGTGTTCTACGGTTTTAATTTTAAATTTTACTGCAGTCAGGAGTGCAACAAAACTGCTTTATAATTACCAATGCTTTTCAACTATTTTTACTAAAAAATGAGTTTAAAAAAATGTTTTATACTATTTGATGTTCAAAACACTATGTCTATCAACAAATTACAGAAATTTTCTAGTCAATTCAGGGAATAGTTTTCATCATTTCACATACAGTTTTATATACAATTTATATATATTACACTTTGCAAATAATCATGTGTTAAGGTCTTCAATATATGAAAAGCCTGCTGTAAACGATCAAAAATATCAAAACGACAAATTAATTTACAAAGTAAGAATGGGTTATTGTGTGTTATAATTTTTAAAACAATGTTAAATTAAATACATATCAGATGTCAGGAGTGCAACACAATAATGTAACATAGGGTCACTTCAAAATCTAGTATTTTTTGTAAGAGAACTCGTATATACAAATTCTTTTTTGGCTTAGATTTAAAGAATTGGCTTGAACGGACAGAAAAGTGAAATTTGGGAAATTTTATTGCTTCATATTTCTTTCATATTAAAACTTTTCAAACCAGAATTGACAAAATAATGTAAAATAACAATCAAAAAGCCAATTTTTTTGTCACACATACAAGAGAAGATACTCAATCAAGGTCTAGATTTAGTCATTTATACCCCTTTTACCATTTTGAAGCATAAAAAACTATAATTTCTTGTGATTATGTATTTTAGAAAGTCTTTTAAGGTTTAATGATATTTTCTTTTTTCAAAAGAAATTTTACTAATAAAAATTCTGAAACTTTTTAATCCAATTGTCTATTCTATTGCCACTTCAGGATTTTAAACTAGAATGCATGTGCAATATGAAGATATACGTGAAAAATATGTTAGAAGTAGTTGAATTTTTCCAAAAAAAATTTCAGTTTGGTGGTCATTTTTTTAATTCACCCGTATAACAGTTAATAATTACATTCCACAGATATTTTTATAAGATGTGTGTAAAGTGTGGGCATCAGAAACACCATATCATGGACGGGGAGGTCAAAAGGTTAAGTTATGATTTTTTTTTCGACGTCACAAACGTGGAACGTGGTGCAATGTTAAGTCAATCAAAATTAAGCTCTACAAGTGCGGTGTGTATCATTTGATCAGAGAAATTAATGTTACAGGGACTTTAACAACCTCGTTTAAAGTCAGCATTTCATAAATTCTATGGTCTTTATAATGACATTGTTATCAAATATAATCTATCATTGCGACATATTTTGACTGAGGTGTTTCATACCAATTGTTATGCCTTTGCTTTTATACTGAATTTGGTTACGGAATGTTACGTCTACTGATCTATACAAAGGGAACACAGCGGGTCTGAGGAGCGTTATTCAATTTAGAACAAACGACCGTGTTATGCCACGTTGAACGTCCAAAATTTTCAATTCAATGCTTAATTGAAATGAATCA